ACACATTCTGACACTAACTTTCAAAGTATGAGTTTTCCATACTGCACCCATGATGGGCGGCAAATCCGGGTGTTTGGCGTAATATGTCAACATCAGTGACTGGCCATAACCATACCGTCCCTGTAGAGTATCAAACCACAATCATTTAGGTGAACCCGCTTACATTTTTACTTATACTTAACGTGTACCAGTGGCATTCGGGCATGTAGTAAACACAGTTGGCACTAACGCTGATAGTGATACCTAAGGCAATAATGAGGATCAGGTGGTTAGGAGACTTATGGGATTCATGCTATCGACCACTGGGTTGTCTGATCCTGACGCCAGGTGAAGATTCCTTATACGTTGCCCTCATATAACAAACACAAAAACACCTTAAAAGCTTGTTGACATAAGTCAGATATCTGAAGGGGGCGATGGGGCAACCTTCTGGATGAAGCGTTTGCTTCACGCCGAAGATCCGGGTTCGAATTCCCATATTGGTACAATGTGTGAAGTAGATTTAGGCGGTGATATTGTTGGAATATTGCTAAAAGGAGAATATAACCAAGCCACACATTGTTCTGAAGGTGTGTTTCGGCATTACTTTGTTCCTCCCATCAGTATTTGCCATGTCCGAATCCCTTGACCCGAAACCTGATCACCTTTTTCATGGCGGACTCATCACACCGCTCTCTCTTTTGGTAAATCTGCAACATTTCAAGCATAATTAACTCTTTTATCTTCCATTGCTACTGAAAGACCAGCGATCCAACAGTACACAAGCAAGCGGGCAATAACTACCAGTATTAGCGTTGAACACGGGGTAACATCTGACCAGCCTATTCTTAGGGGTTATCGCCAAATTACAGTGTAAGTGTGGAGACCCTTCCCGGCGCCGCCGATAACAATAACCATGTTTGCTTTCATCTTAACACAAGGGGGCGCTGCGACCCTTATGACGTCGTGTGCAAACACTCACGTGATCATAACGTTCATACGGGCCTTTATCGCGCAGGGCCTGTATTTGTTTATCAATAACACCCATGCTTTCAAACGTCCCACAATGTGATCTGACAGACCGAAAATTTATGAGGAAGTTTCAAGGGCAGGTTTCGACGTCCACAGTGCCTAAAAGACGTACCATACACGTTCATACTTGCATGCATTTGGGTGAAGATTTTGTGAAGTGTGGTCATATAGATATATATTATCTGTATCCAGGTCAATGGTCAGAAGAGTTTGTGAAGTTTGTAGGTATATTATTGCAAATATCTCACAGGATCGTGAAAGGAGAGACAAGAATTTCATCGCTTCTAATTCAGGCAATATCAAGCTGGTATCCGTCGTGAGACAGTCTTCTTATAGTCATATTGTTAATTGATTCAAAACCAACTTTGTGTATAATTTAGGTCTTACCTCAAAATGTACATGCGTGAGTGAGGTGGGCGTCACACCTCTTTAACAGAATGTAAGTCATAGTGTCAGCTCAGTGTTGTAGGGCCATGCAAATTGAAGCAAGTCGTCTACAACTAGAACGCTGTAACTATCATACGTACATACTACATGACTGTGTTCAGCAAACTAGGCCAAAGAGGGCGTGTTGCTCACATTGCATGATTAACTTTACCCGCACTGGATTTTCACTATCAAGAAATGCATGGATGTTGTTTTGCGCCGCAGACCAGCCTGTAAAACCCTGGACCAGGCGAACCAGTGATTGACAGCTGGTCAAGGTCCAAGGGGGGTCCACAGCTGGTCCTGGGGATACGAATACACGTGATCCCAAAGGCCGGCCATTCAGTCCGGACTACTCGGCTGTCTCGTTACTCACGTGTCTCAGTAAATCGATCCTGTATTTATGAACCTGTGATATACCGTGTGCTAGCCTAGTGGTACAGCGTTCGCTCGGCACGCCTTAGGCCCGGGTTTGATTCCACACACAGGTACAAGACGTGTAACCAATATCTAGTATACCCTGGTCTGATATTGCTAAAGGCGGCGTAAAATCATACTCACTCACCAATTTGCTCATCAAAGTATTAGATTTCATGTTATCAAGTTGATGGCTGTGTGAAAATATAACAACGTGACTGAGTCATTAACGCATAGTACATAAACACATATCTTCGTTTGTCGGCATATTGGGGGCGCGGTGGGCGAGCTGGCTAAGGCGCCAAGCTAGTGATCCAGCGAGGTTGAGGTGTCGGGATCGAGCCCACCTGTGACCGGGTGTAAAAAACCTTGGAGTCAACTTTGTGTGCAGACTCTTTCAGTGTTGTCACAACCCCTAGTGTACAGTACACAACCCTGTGCACATAAAAGAACCCACGAATCCGTTGGTATTTGACCAGATGGTGGCCACATGAATACGTGCAAACACCTAGTTGCGGGTACCGCAACGTGCAGTGAACATGGACAAAGTACTGTGACTATGTGTCCCAGTCCACCCAACTGTGAATGGGTACCTCGTTAGGATGAGAAAGCCACAACAACTCGGTGCGCCTAGTGGCTGCAAGAGTTGTATACTCCCCAGGGAGTTGAGATTGATAATGCGATGTGCCGTTGAGATTGACATCCAATGATCGAGGGGAAAAAATACCAGCGCCTTGAGCATGCACTAGTGCGTGGATATGTGCGCTATATAAATATCCTATAATAATAATATTTGAAAGGTGAATATAGTCATGACTACATAATAGTTTATTTTGTCGGATAATTCGGTTATCACCTTGTCACAAGTTATTGTGCATGTTTGGCAACGTCAATGAGGCGCGAAATTCTTTTCAGTAATGGCAACCCACCAACCCAAATTGTTCACTGCCCCCATTCATCACTGGTATTCACAGTCCTCCTTTGAACCTTCTAACGAACTGGTCTGTCGGGTCACGTGACCGTCTGCCATCCTTGTGGTCCCCCTTAATTTTTCTACTCTGCCAAAACTACTTAAAGGTGAAACTCACGCTGATGATAAGAAATAACCCCCTTGCCAAGATATCAAATTCGGAAATTTACATAAGATTTCAACTTTGATGCTATGAATCAAGTCGTCCTAAAATACAGTGTGGCAAAGGCTGTGTCTGTTGGAGTGAACTACTCAACATTACTGGGTCTCGTACCGTCAAGTCTTGGCCGGAGAACACATACATGCGTGATCCATACTCTGAATAATATACTATTTGAAAAAGTAAGTGATATCCCATTTAGGGGTGATATTATTTCTGAACCAAGCTGTATGGTGGCAAATGGATTAAAAATGATAATTCAATTCGCAACGTGTCATAAATGTCGTGTAAACATAAAATTCAAGTCAAATTTATGCAATATGGTTGGGGTAAAGTTCGAATTTACAGTGAAACGTGTCAATGTGTTACCGTCCATTTCAGTGATAAAATCAGACAGGAAATAGTTCTGATGTGGATTGAAACTCGTTTTTAACATGCGGCGTCTGTCACGTTAGGGACTGCCACGTGCAACTGGCATGTTGGACGTTGGAACAAGACAGCATTGTGGCACAACGCAATATCGATAGTCAAATAACGTTCATCAGGCGTCGATCAGGTCGACCAAGGGCGGCAAGTGGGGTACATGGCCGTTTCATAACTGTGTTATCAAACATTGGTGAGAGTGCCACTCAAACTGGAGATGGGTTTGACAGAGCTACAGGTGTTAAAGTGAGTAGACAGACACAGATCGAATCTACATGCCCGACGGCCATGTGTTATAGCACGGAGCGTCACGTTACCGCAAGACGGCGTTGGCGTCAAGGGCGGAAGCATTTGAAAATGCTCAGAATGTACTGGCATATCTTTCTATTTGAAGGTAGCAAGCAGACTTGTTGCAGGAACTACATGTGCCAGTTAACAAATATTACATGTTCGTTTAAAAACTGAATTTGGTGTTCAATTGTCGATATCTATGTCGATATCGCCTGATCTCACACAAGCGATGTCTACTGTGGGAGCCAGTTTGGGATGATAAATCAGTATATACATGTGAATATATAAAAGATTATATATCCAGTATATTGACTTTATTAATCAAGCAGTCTGTATCCATGGAGCGGATGAGGCCAGAGGTCTGTACTCCCTATTCTGGGGGGTGTTAAATATTCATACACTTTCCTACTTTCATAGCATTATCAATAAACATTGATAAATTTCTGGTAGTTTCAGTACAATCGCGTCTTTAATTTCCAAACTTTGTTAATTATGGACTATGGTAGAAATATATATTTCAATATATTGCTCTGAATTTATTACATGCTGGACATAAACATGAATTTGGTGGCTAGATCGATATCGTAAAGTAGCTATTGTAAACTTCTGAAAGTTTACAAATAATAGACCAGGTTCTGTTACTACTTGATTTACCTCTGTGTGTGTGTGTGTGCGTGCGTGCGTGCGTGCGTGCGTGCGTATTTCCGTTCAGACAGCACGCCGTCATGGCAGACAGCAGCAAAAGAACACGTATTTTACGACGCTTCGTTCAGTAAATCAAACGACGGTTCCTCATGAACTGCCACTGAACATATCATATTTGTTTCGAAGCAATATGGTCACAGTAAGCGCCATGTCTTCGACTGTGGAACATAGTCAAACATAACAGACACCCATGTGCACTCAATATATGTATATTTAATCTTTATATAAAAAATCGCACTTTAACAACAGCCATTCATGACATCGTATTGAGACCACAGGGGCGTGTCACGCTTAGAAACAGCGTTAGAAAGACATATAGGTATATAGACCCTACCCTAGTACTATATAAAAGGAATAATACTAGGGTAGGGTCTATATACCTATATGTCTTTCTAACGCTGTTTCTAAGCGTGACACGCCCCTGTGATTGAGACCGTATTAGATTTTAAGGAAGTAGCGGAGCAGCCCTTCTTATATACTTGCTGCACGGAGTTCTACCGACACCATAAGCTCGGTGGGGAAATCTGACCCCAAAACAGAATATTTTAGCGTTTCTTCTGGTTGCCGACGGATGGATGAAATAACTGAGAGTAAACATGAAATTAGATGTCCATGGTGAGCCAAGTAATTAATAGAAACACATTTGAAGCACATTAGTGCAATACAAGGACATACACAATGTAAAATACAGAACGCATGCTGCATATCATTAACATCTCTAGAATGTATTCTCCGGATCTAGGCACAGTACACTTGATCGTTCAGTCTACGCACGTCAACGTTTCATTGATAAAACTAATGCGACAAAACAACTTATAACAGATAATGTTTTATAACGTGTCTCCTGACAAAAATATCAACACACACACCGGTTAGTTTATTTCACACAAAATCTCAAATTGACAGTTTTGTTTTAACCACAACAGACAGTCAACGCAACCATACATCAAATAAGACACGAATTTGTAAAAATTCAAATAACTGCACACAATCACAACTTCACTGTCCCATTTCTGTTTCCCCTGTCCGCAATCACCGACTCTTCTGCCTCGGTTTGGCAAAAACCCGGATGCCGTTCATCGACCTCATTACAGCAGCCACTTTCCTCTTGACTGGATAAGCCGGGTCTATTTCCAGCCGGTACCTACAACATACATAACCACTGTTGTAACAATGTAAAATTCAGGTGTGGAAATCAACTCAGTATCTCAGATGGACATTCAGGTTTAGTTTGAATAAGAATATCGCATTCTATACGTACTGTTAAACTGATAGTCACACGGTGTATTTCTCATAACCAATCGAGATAACATGTGCATATCAGAAGCACATATATAGCCGTTTCGGCGTGTTTTTATTAATTTGTTCAAAGCAAGAAAATACGTCATGGTATTGCAAATACAGCAGACTGCAGACCATGCGGAGTTGTGTATTTCCTACACGAAAGGACCGCCTCCGTGGTGTAGTGGTTAGAGCGTCCGCCCGGAGAGCGGAAGGTCGCGGGTTCGATCCCCGACCGCGTCATACCAAAAGACGTTAAAATATGGTACTTGTTGGTCCCTGCCTGGCGCTCGGCATTAATGGGTACAACAAGGACTGGTCGGCTCGGAGTCAGTATACTGTGTCTGAGTGGGGTATTCATGCTTCACTGCGGCATGGTATCTCAGTGGGCTAGCACTATAAAACCAGCTTAAGTCTGGGCTAGTACAAGCAGCCGCACATACACATACAGACGCATGCACGTCGTCATATGAGCGAAATATTCTCAAGTACGACGTAAAACCCAATTTCACCTCACCTCACCTCACCTACACGAAAGCCCCCGACCTACATACCTGCGAAGGATGCGGGCAAGTAGTACCTTCTCCTCATTCATGGCAAAGTGCTGGCCGATGCAGTTTCTGGAATTAACAAACTTCAATTAAACGATTGTCGACAGATCTGTACACGTCATCATCCAACAACACTAATCTATAGGCGAAATACACAAACATAAACACTGAAGTGAGTGAGTTTAGTTTTACGCCGCACTCAGCAATATTCCAGCTATATGGCGGCGGTCTGTGGATAATCGAGTCTGGACCAGACAATCCAGTGATCAACAGCATGAGCATCGATCTGCGCAACTGGGAACCGATGACATGTGTCAACCAAGTCAGCGAGCCTGACCACCCGATCCCGTTAGTCGCCTCTTGCAAGCATGGGTTACTGAAGATAAATTCTAACACGGACCTTCACGGGTGAAACACGGAAATGAAATCTCCACCACATTACCATATCAAGTTTCGCGTACCCCGGTTGAAATGCCTATTGTGTGACATATATTTCACACTGAGCTGCGACATATAGTTTTGTAAATACTGCATACACTTAGCACTAAATGACCATTACACACGGTGTGCTTGGACAACCTTTCTTGTTTCAACTGTAAACACAGCAAAATTAAGACTTAACACCCGATCCATTGGCCAGCCTGTTGCATCGACTCACATATCTGAATATGCATATTAAGAAGAAAATAGTAACTAAGAGATTCACTACTATGGTGTAATTATTTCACCGGTAAGTGTTTTACCTGAATCCACGACAGGCAGAAAATCATGTGTTTTAACCTAACTTAGTGCTCAGCCATTAAAGTGAACTTGATTCATTATACCGTGTCGGAGCTGGGTATCTGTCGTATGTTTCTCAGTTAGCTCTATGAAACAGAACAACCGTAAGTCCAGCCTAGAACAGGCAGTCTGACATGCGTATGCATGAAATTTTCTTGGAAGCGCCATATGACCTCACCTAACCATGGGCAAGACAAGCCGGGGATTGATGTTTTGATGCCACGTCACAGACCCGAATCACCCCAATCTTTATGTCGCATACAGCGACGAGTAACCTACAGCCCTAACCAACGGCATCGCATTGATTCGTGTACACCGACGTGGATACGGGATCCACTCGAGTCACCAAGCAACAATTAATTACTGATATATGTTGTCGAGTACCGTGTCTGATAAAAGATGACATTTAGTGATAAGCATCCCTGTAACCAACCTGGGATCGTCCAGACGTGGGGGGTGGGGGTATTGTACAGATTCGGATGGAGGATGCATAATGTAATTAATTAGATATTCTTCTGAGGTATCGTTCCTTGTGCTTAACAAACCTGGGACCAGCTGAGAAAGGCACAAAGGCGTAGCTGTCTTTGCCCTGCATGTTTTCGGGCAAGAAACGTTCTGGCTTGAACTCCCAGGGGTCTTCCCACACTTCCGGGTTGTGGTGGAGGTTGAGGAGGTGAACGGTGCAGATGGAGTCCTTGGGGAGGGTGATGCCGTCGATGGTGGTGGGCTGGGTGAGTTGACGCTGGATGAATGGCACGGGGCAGTGGAGTCGCATACCCTCCTTGATGACGCAGCCAAGATAAGACAACTCCGTCAGCTCGCTCCTGGAAGGGAAAGTTACAGAGAACTGTTTTGAGGTGAGGTGAGGTGAAATTTGGTTTAACGTCGTACTTGAGAATATTTCGCTCATATGACGACGTGCATGCGTGTGTATGTGTATGTGCGGCTGCTTGTACTAGCCCAGACTGAAGCTGGTTTTATAGTGCTAGCCCACTGAGATACCATGCCGCAGTGAAGCATGAATACTCCACTCAGACACATTATACTGACTCCGAGCCGACCAGTCCTTGTTGTACCCATTAATGCCGAGCGCCAGGCAGGGACCAACAAGTACCATATTTTAACGTCTTTTGGTATGACGCGGTCGGGGATCGAACTCGCGACCTTCCACTCTCCGGGCGGACGCTCTAACCACTACACCACGGAGGCGGTCAGAACTGTTTTGAAGTACACTGAGATGAAGAACGAAGAGACCATGGTCGTCCGTCCTCATTAATCTCGCTTTCAAGAGGACTGATTTTGTGGACGTCTATATACAAAATGGCTTCGTATCTACGTTTCCTTTACTTTAGAATCAGCTAAGGACTGCCCGGATTTCACAACTCAGTGAGTGAGTGAGTTCAGTTTTACGCCGCACTCAGCAATATTCCAGCTATATGGCGGCGTTCTGTAAATAATCGAGTATGGACCAGATAATCCAGTGATCAAAAGTATGAGCATCGATCTGCGCAATTGGGAACCGATGACGTGTGTCAACCTAGTCAGCGAGCCTGACCACCCGATCCCGTTAGTCGCCTCTTACGACAAGCATGGGTTACTGAAGATCAATATTCTAACCCGGACCTTCAAGGTTTCACAACTCAGGATTAAAAAGTGTAACATCTTAAATTGAGGCAAGGAGAAATGGGTGCTTGTTATTCCAAACATAGAATGGCGAGGGGGAATATTGTAACCTTGTGCAAACTCAACCCAGTCTTCAGCATGAGGAGTGGAGTCTTTAACCACCCCACATCGCTTCCAGAAAACAAACGCCCCAAGACACACACTCATTAATAGCTTTATTATACTCTCGATTTCCTTACCAGTCTATAACTTCCGGGTCTTTCCCATCCAAGATGCCGTCGACTTCCGCCTGCACCTTGTCCTGTATGTCTTCGTGTGTGGCCAGCGAGTACAAAATCCATGAGATGGCGCTAGCTGTTGTGTCGTGGCCTGGAAAATCAATGTGATATGATAAGTAATCCGATCTACATATATTTAGGATAACATCATCATCGCGTCCGCAAAAAATAAACTATCCTGAAAGGAAAGAATGTAATACTGCCTATAAAAAACAGCACATAACAACTAGAGATCGTTCACGCATTTGTTAACGCCATCGCCAAGTCTGCAAACATATACTTTTGTGAAAGGAATAGTATTCTGGAAAAAGCAAAACATCGCAACGTGGGTCTGCAGCTCACCTTCATTATATATTTGATAACTGCAGGAATATTGAGGAGACGGGATGTACATTGTACCTCGTAACCCACTTGGGTTCTCTCTGTACAATTAAGCCAACCACATGACACCTTGAAGCCACATGTCTCGTAACCCTCACCCTCAAAAAGGAATGTGTCGACTTCGTTCCTGATCTCCATGGAGGTAAGACCGTCCCCGCTGTCGTCCCTAGCAGTGAGCAGGACGTCGAGGAAGTCCAGGTATTTCTTATTGGCGGGCCCCTCTCTGTCCTGAAAATTGCGGTAACAGTTGGTGTTTATATAAGCGCACAATCAGTTCACAAAGATCATAAAGGGAACTGATTTCTTAACTACAAAAGGTTTTGTTGTCTCACTCTCTTACATTACACTTAGACCTCTGTAAGGAACGTGAATATTGGAGACTTCATGGGTCTTGGGGTTGACTGGGTGTCACCCTACTGTGACAACGTGAATATCTGTGACAACTACCTAGGGTCGAGTATGTTCTGACCACCTTCGTGGAGCTGGAATATTACTCTTTCCGTCGTTAAAAATTATGAAAATAAACAACCCAGAACTAAGACTGAGTAGCTTTGTATCAAACGGAGCCCATGGCCACCCAGATATACAACGTGTTATTCAAGATTGAGACGCTAATGATAAAAAATGCGATGTTACACTTTAAATTTGTTTGTTGTTTAACGCCACACTCAGCAATATTCCATCTATATGGCGGCATTCTGTAAATAAGCGAGTTTAGACGAGAGAATCCAGTGATCAACGTCATGAGCATCGATCTACGAAATTGGGACACGATGACATGTATCAACCATGTCAGCGAGCCTTACACTTTAAAGGAGAGAGATAACCTCATTTTAACCTCACAATCAAGGAGGATACTTACTAGGGTCTCGCGCCTCTTCTTAATGAGGTTCTCGGATATGGAGTGAACGAAGTCGCACTGCTGCTTGAATCTGCGCCCCATCTTGGTGCAGCTGAAGACGAAGTCGTTGTAGAGGAGAGGGTTCCTGAAAGAACAAGACACATCTTTTCAATACATGTGGACTAGGAAGGTATAGGCACAGTGCTATACCATGAGAGTGAGTTTAGTTTTACGCCTTATTTAGCAATATTCCAGCAATATCACACGGGGGATACCAAAAATGGGCTTCACACATTGTACCCATGTGGGGAATCGAACCCTGCATGACGAGCGAACGCTTTAATCTGTGGATTATGAAAGTACAAGGGCTCGCAACCTCAGTTGTATTAACGGAAGTATCGTTATTATTCACAGCTAGAAACAACGTGGAGATGAAGACAAGTAAGTAGTTAGATGAAGGATTTGAATCAAACAGGAACGGAAAATAGACCAGAGGGTATCTCTGAAAGCAATACGAAACTAAACATTATGTAGACACATTTATTGTGTCAGGACTTGTAGTGAAGCTTGCTTCAGGGGAAAAGATTAATATTAATAAGGTAGTTTCCTTGTTGTTCCCAAGGTGTTCCTTGACGACTAGATGCAGACTTGGTGTTAAATGACAATGTGCAGATGGACACCAGAAGTATCAACAGAAGGCCTGTTACTTATAACCAACCTTCCTCTTTCGAACCACATCTCAGACAGCTCGTTGACGGCCACAACGTAAGGGTGACTCTCCCTGAAAACAAAGCAGATTGAGATCACAGTATAATTATGGTGAGATCAGACGCAAGAGAGTCAATACCGTTTAAAGTTTCGGTCAGCAATGTTTCATTTGTATATTGTCATCATATATCTACCCTTCTACCTGTATACGTGAGCATGCACCTACCCTTTCACCTGTATACATCCCCATATTGTCAACATGTACCCACCCTACCATGTTTATATTGTCAACATGCACCCCTGTCATGTTTATATTGTCATCATGTACCCACCCTATCATGTTTATATTGTCAACATGTACCCACCCTATCATGTTTATATTGTCAACATGTACCCACCCTACCATGTTTATATTTTCAACATGTACCCACCCTATCATGTATATATTGTCAACATGTACCCACCCTATCATGTTTATATTGTCAACATGTACCCACCCTTATATATAAACACGTCAGCAAGTACCCACCCTTTCATCTGTATATTGTCGTCGAATGACATGGCACACTTCAGGATGACTTCCAGCGTGCAGAGGCTGATATGGCCGAACACCTCAAAACTGTCCCCCTTCTCCTCGTAACGCGCTATTTTCCCCTGCAAATTAGAAAGGCGTTACTTAATTACACATGGCTACTCCCCAGCTTAGCACTGAAGGCAAGCTAAACGTGAAACACGGAGCTGGCGGTGGTGAAAGTGTACCACTACACGAAGGCATACGAACAGTGGTGTCTATTGGTGTTTGTTGGCCGCTCAATAAGACACACAATCAACGACGTCACAAGGCCGGACCACGCTATCCATTAAAGTACCTCGAATGTCAAGAGTATGTTTCTTGGGATCACCTCGAACCAGGATTCCCCATTATACTCACATCACAATGAGTCGTATGGAGCCTAGAAGTTGATCCCACGCCAGGGGCCCATGGTTACGATGTGAGAAGATTCACTCTTTTACTCGCAAAATGTGCAGTTTTATCAGGAGTCTGTGGTAATCGAGGGATGTAAGGCTGGCCGTGCGTCTAAATACAACATTTGACTCTCACAGTCGACGTTGGGATCCGTCTTTTGCCAAACATTTGCCCTTGTTCTTTAGGTTTGGAACTTATCTGTGATATGTTTCACTTTGGGTTTCCTTCAACATTTAACACCAGAAATACAGAGTATACTCTCTCTTCAGTGATATACATATCACTCCAGCAATAAAATCGTACTTCTATATCACCATCAGGATATCATCTACCCTCAATCGTAACATACTGTCTCATTCCGCAGCAATCCTTTCCCCATTATCTTCAGCATTAACACGTAATCCTTATCCACCCTTTAATCCTTTACCAGCAATATACCCTACACTCCCTCGTTAGCCTAATATAGACAGACAGACAGACAGACAGATATAGTGTATTAAGGTGTCACGTGAACGATTACATGAAATAAAATACACAATATATATAATAAAATATCGTTCACCCAGCCAATAAGGCTTATGAGACACCATACACAATTTAATAACTATGTATATTTCGTTTTAGAGTAAAATATAAGAGGTAGTTTAAATAAATAACATTTTTACAGGAATAGGAGTCGTCTTCTAAACATGTTATTCACAGTGGTTGATAACATTAGCGGGTCTGACGACATTAAAATACTTAATAAATGCACATTGTTATCATACTTAAAATCTCCATTTATAAGATGATATCTAAGATCCTGATAAAAATAACAGTGCAAAAGAAAATGTATCTCGTCTTCTATATCCTATACCCCATCTCAAGCATTATGCGGGGCGGTGGGGTAGCCTAGTGGTTAAAGCGTTCGCTCGTCACGCCGATGACCCGGGTTCGATTCCCCACATGGGTACAATGTGTGAAGCCCATTTCCGGTGTCCCCCGCCGTGATATTGCTGGAATATTGCTAAAAGCGGCGTAAAACCATACTCACTCACTCACTCACTCAAGCAATATGCCTGTATTTCCTCACCAGCAAGACGTCGGCCGCCCTGTTGTACACTTCCATGTAGGGTTTGAGGATGTCGAAGTGGAAGGCTGGCGTCAGCAGCCTCCTAGAGCGGGCCCAGCGCTGACCACTGGCTATCAACAACCCTTCTCCAAGCCAGGGCACAGCAAACTGGTAGGCTCCGGACATGGGCTTTGGTTCTGGAAATACCATTGGAATCTGAGCACAAAGTCCACAATAATCTGCGTTACATGTGTCACTAGCGGTGTGTGCGGCACTGCAGTTAGTATACAATCTTACCAATATTCCAGCTATGTGGCAGCGCTTTTTGATAATCGCGTCTGGACTAGACAATCCAGTGATCGATATGATGAGCATGTACGAGTTGCATGAGCTAGTACACCAGGAGAATCTTCAACCCGTGAGCCAGGAAAGCTGTACATTACCGTTCAAGCTCGTAACACCCAGTATACCACATAGCTGACACACGTAATGAGGTTAAGAAATAATTTCTTTGAAGCATTGTTGTGTGACAATAAGGTCTATCTTGTGACGTCCATTGGAATTTCAGTAAGGAAAATCAAAGTGCCATCATGGTTAATATTGATGTGACAGTATGACGTCATGATGTCCGTAAAGGTTGACAAATAGCCAATCAGATTTACGGATTCTATAAATAACAACGGAAAGTGTATCTGGTATGGTCTTGCAGAACGTGTCATACATTGTATGTCTGTGGTTATGGCATAACACCGTAGTTATATCCTACATGGAATTAACCCTAGGTGTACGGAGCTTCAAGTAAATATAACTCATACGTTGGAATGTTTCTATTTCTTGCTACAGAGAACATGTACATGTCATAAGGGCATGTGCTTGTTGAGGAGTGTCTAGTGAGTTTAGTTTTGTTTGATTAACGCCGCACTCCAGCAATATCCCAGCTATATGGCGGCGGTCTGTAAATAATCGAGTCTGACCAGACAATCCAGTGATCAACAGCATGAGCATCGATCTTTTGCAATTGGGAACCGATGGCCCATGTGTCAACCAAGTCAGACGGACAACTGACCATTCTCGATCCCGTTAGTCCTGCCTCTTTGGTGTATAAATAAAGCAATAATGTATATAATACGTGGCATTATGGCAGAGGGACCCTTATATACATTTCAGAATTGCTGAAGACCCTAGAGCTCTTCTACCATCCTGGATCTTCAATCGGAAATCACATGTCATTTTAATGTAGCATGGAGATCGCAACTTGAGTATGATTGAGATGTTAAAACAGACCAGCTCCTACTGTAACGTTGCCCATGTATGAATAACTGTTTGTTTGTTTAACGCCGTCTGTAAATACATGGAGTTGCTCTTTTGATATCCTTTAAGCATCTTATATGATTGTAAAGGGTAACGAAATTCCAGTGATCAACAGTATGAGCATTGCTCTACACAATTGGGATACGATGACATGTGTCAGCCAAGTCAGCGAGCCTGACCACCCGATCCCGTAAGTCGCCTCTTAAGACAAGCATTGGTTGCTGAAGATCAATTCTAACCCGGGTCTTCACGGGCACCTGTATGAGAAAGCGTCTCGACTAACCAGATGTCTTCAGAAGCTCTTTCACTACATCCGGATGATGAAGCGTCAGAACAGGCCTGAAAGGACCAGCCCATATTCGGAAGAAACGTGGATTCTTCAGCATCAACCCATTGATGTATTTCATCCGCTCTTCAGTGTCACTGGAAAGCTTTAGGGAAAACACAGAATGTTATACAATGAGAACTAACCTGATGTTTTTAGGAGGAGCTTTACTGAGTCGGGGTGACAGCACATTATAACAGGTCTAAACGCTCCCTGCCACAGTCTATAGAAGTACTTGTGTTTCCGCATCAGCCCGTCCATGTACTCCATCCGTACCTCCGTCTCCTTGCCCCTTACCTTAACACAAAGCCCGTGTTAGTGAGTGAGTGAGTGGTTGACTGAGAGAGTGAGTGAGTGGTTGACTGAGTGAGTGAGTTAGTGGTTGAGTGAGTGGATGGGTGAGTTAGCGGTTAAGTGAGTGAGTGAGTGGTTGACTGAGTGAATGATGTAGTGGTTGAGTGAGTGGGTTGAATGACCGAGTTAAGCTGGTTTTATAGTGCTAGACTGAGTGGTTGACTGAGTGAGTGAGTTTGACTGAGCGAGTGAGTTAGTGGTTGAGTGAGTGTTTGAATGAGTGAGTTGGTGGTTGACTGAGTGGTTGACTGAGTGGTTGACTGAGTGAGTGATCGAGTGAGTGGGATTTAACGCCGCTTTCTTCGGTGTATCAGATATACAACATTGTGACGGTATAATGTGAAAGAAAGTCGGAAGTGACGCATGTTGAAGAAACGTCCTGGTGTGGTGACATCAAGTAAAGCAATAGTGGGACAAAACACAATAATCGAATACTCGCACGACAAACGGTGCACAGGAGATTCGGAATTTATGATGACGAGACAACTGTCACCCCAATCAGTGGATGTGCGTTAGTAAGGTAGGGTTATTGGGTTGGCGTGTGTTTATAGGTAGGGTTTAGTATGTGTAAGTACGAATTAGTACTCAGTGTGGGTTCGAAGGTATGCTTTAGGGCGTGTGGGAAGGGGTTAACTGGCGAGGAGGAGGAGGAGGAATACTAAACATGATCATCACCTATATTAAATCAAAATTATTAAAATAACTATTGGTACTGACAAATGTAATACTATTTACAAACAAAGTCATAGGTTGTTTTATATCACACACAGCATTGGCGGATCCGGGGAGAGCGAACACACAGAAGTTAATGTTTTGCCGGGGTCCGGGGTGGGGTGGGGTGGGGGGGTCAGGTGGTTCGAACCTCTCACCCCTTTGAAATTCCTGGATCCGCCTATGCTCAGCAATATTCCAACTATATAAAGACGGCCTGTCCATAGTCGAGGCTGGACCAGACAATGCAGTGAATGGTATTACTGAGCGCAGTGACCTACAGAGAAAATAGTCCTAAACACCGAATCATTTACTGATCAGATCAAAGTTTCACGGAATAAGGGGATTATCAAAGTTGACTGCATAAAATAACTTTAATACAATAAAATATAATACATGACTGTCCAATAAGCCTGCAAGCCACGTCTCTGCCTGGAGATCTGATGACACCTACATTGAAGGTTGCGTCAGGTGAACTATTACATCAGCCTGTCAGCACGGGGGGCTCTAAGTTATTGGTGCGAGTGATCGAAGCATTTAGAACAACATATATGATTACATCTCGAAAAACGGCAGTTCTGAATGTATATAATTAAACGAAAACTTGTTTCTCAGAGCCAAGGTCTAAACAACAAAGAAACATTAGTGTCCTGCGAGGGGTTTCTCTGACTGAGTTTGGTTTTACGCCGCTTTGAGCAATATTCCAGCAACATCACGGCGGGGGACACCAGAAATGGGCTTCACACATTGTACCCATGTGGGGATTCGAACCCGGGTCTTCGGCGTGACGAGCCAACGCTTTAACCACTAGGCTACCCCACCGCCCTCTTGTTAAAATAGAAGTACATACACGTATATCTTAATGTTGACAACAACGACGCAGGTATTGGATCGAGACATCAAACATCCTTCACTCAGATAAGGCTGTCGGCATTCGCTCAGGGTTCAGCTGACGCAACCTTCCATAGACGTTTCTTCACGCAGAGTATCACGTTTAAGTAGAATAGATCTGAACAGTCAGACTAAAATATACATTGTCTTCAGTGATGTGGGGCGATTCCATACGCCATTATATTATTGACATAAACTGTAAAGCTGTAAGAGTGAGTGAGTGAGTTTAGTTTTACGCCGCACTCAGCAATATCACAGCTATATGGCGGCGGTCTGTAAATAATCGAGTCTGGACCAGACAATCCAGTGATCAACAGCATGAGCATCGATCAGCGCAAATTGGGAACCGATGACGTGTGTCAACCAAGTCAGCGAAACTGACCACCCGATCCCCTTAGTCGCCTCTTACGACAAGCATAGTCGCCTTTTATGGCAAGCACATGGGTGCTGAAGACCTATTCTACCCCAGATCTTCACGGGTCTAAAGCTGTAAGAAGGTGTGAATAACGTGTAAGATGTATTTTACTACTTGGTGTGTAGGGACGGGAGTTTGCTGAGGGATGCGTGGACATGGTTACATTCTGATTATAATCATTTTTGATTACGAAAACAATGGACTTTATTTCCAACATACACTCTTAACGTTTTTGGAAAGGACTTGTCCGATCTTGTTGACCAAATGAACGCTAAAATTGTACCGTCGCTAGTCATTTTGGGTGGGTTTTTTCATCACGTGCGATGTAGGACGGTGATAAGGTCACGTGTACCCACTTGTCTGGCAACGAGCTCAAGTAAAGAGCACGCCTCCATGTTATCGCATACCGTACACAGAGTACTGAGGCATACAGACCCAGATGATCTGTGAAACTCACGAACACGAAACTCACGCACTATAAACTACACAAGTAGGTTTTAATCATAATGAGTGAGTGAGTGAGTTTAGTTTTACTCCGCACTCAGCAATATTCCAGCTATATGGCGGCGGTCTGTAAATAATCGAGTCTGGACCAGATAATCCAGTGATCAACAGCATGAGCATCGATCTGCGCAATTGGGAACCGATGACATGTGTCAACCAAGCCAGCGAACCTGACCACCCGATCCCGTTAGTCGCCTCTTGCAAGCATGGGTTACTGAAGATCAATGTTCTAGCCCGGACCTTCACGGGTTGATGGTAATGAAGACATATATCGTGAAGATACATGTTTTAGGTCCCACCATATAACGTCGGGGTATATTAGATATTGGCTTCATATATATAAAAATACAAATGTGGAGAATTGAATCCGGGACTCCGGCCTGACTATAGAACGATGTACACATTAACATATGATATGTTTGGGATTACACATTTCTAGGTAAAGGACTGATTCTTGTACTTTTGTTTGGTTGCGTCCCATCCGCGATTTGAGCAAACACTCTCGGCGTCAAATAGAAATAGATTATTATACTTAAATGAGTTAATATTTTCGTTTTCAGGGTGTAGAAACCTTTCTTCTAAACGGCGCTATCAACAGTGTTCATTTACGTTATGTGACCAGCCAACATATTGTGGAAGGAAAGCTTGGAATGAGCAGTCTTCAGCTTCCTAGAGATCCATGAGCACGAGAAGAGTGCTCTCAAACCCGGAAACATAATCAGGCGAATCTGGGATTCGAACCAAGACCGCCGGTTTCTTGCCTCGGGAGTTGCGTGCATTGGCAACTGAGATGTGTCATATTTGCCTCATGTTAGCAGACCTGTGAAGGTCCGGGTTAGAACCTTCAGTAACCCATGCTTGTCGTAAGAGGCGACTAACGGGATCGGGTGGTCAGGCTTGCTGGCTTGGTTGACACATGTCATCGGTTCCCAACTGCCATAGGCGGATCCATTGTGTGTGTGTGTGTGTGTGTGTGCAGGGGTGCGCACCCCCCTTTTGTCCTGAGAGTTTATTAAATGACCATTGAAACTCGTGAAAATGAAGTGTACACCCCTCCTTTCTCAATAGTGTGCACCCCCGCTTTCTCAAAAAGCTGTATCCGTCCCTGAATTGCGCAGATCGATGTTCATGCTGTTGATTACTGGATTGTCTGGTCCAGACTCGATTATTTACAGACCGCCGCTATATAGCTGGAAAATTGCTGAGTGCGGCGTAAAACCCAACTCACTCACTCACTCATGATAGCATTCACTGAGTGAAGTAGGTTGTATAGAAACCACCATACTGCATTAACAGTCTGTCCTGACATATACGGCCCTGACCTAGAATACATCAATGACTGATTTCCTTGTAACAAGTTGTTGATTCGGTCTATTGCCCTATACACCCTGTACAATATGAGGCATACCCTGTAACCTGATGAGTTCTTTCATATCCGCGCTCTATAACTGAATCTGTGACAAACCTTATGCAGATTTCCCCATATCCAGTGGAAGTCGGTCTCGCCGGGGAGACTGTTGTAGAACTTGAACATTCGTCTGTATCGTATAATCCCCTGCATGAGTTTCATTAGACCCAGTACAGCCAGGAGGAGACTCGCCCCCCGCCATCGTGACAGGGACAGGACGTAGGTGTAGATACTCATAGCTTAGCAGGTGCTCGCTCACAATGTCCTCCCTGAACGACACCAGCGGGAATGACTATCCGACGTCCCAGTTGTGAATGTACGTGATCTCGGTCAGATATGTCAAAGTCCGGATATCTTTTATCACCCGCTTACGATACTCCTTTCACGAGATCGCTCACTGGTGCGATATAATGTTATAAGGTAGATAACTCCCTTCGTTAGCGACATGCGTGTTTTAAATTTACCTTCATACACACGTGAGCTTTATATCGTCCCGTTCTGTGTGATACAAACTAGTGTTGGGAATTGGTTAAAATCTCATAATTGATGATTGGTTCATTACCACCGATCAATCATCGAAAATAATTGGTTAGCGTCATTTATGAAATTTGTTAATGCACACAAAAATAAGGAAAACAACATGTAGTTACTTTTGGGGTGTTTTTGGCAAAATTTCACATCTTTAAAGGATGACTAGTATGTTAGGAACATAAATTTCTTGGTGTCTTTAAGATGAATTCAATCACGACTTGGAACAAGCTTGTAGTGCTTATAAAAAGTAATAGATAAAACCAACCTTGTGAAAAATCTTGTTGATGAAAACAAGTGTTCCAGAATTGTTTGTGTTCGATATGAGAAATCATGATCGATTGCTTGGTCGTTTAGTCACTGCGACCAATCTTCGATTATTTCAATTAATCGGACCACCACTAATACAAACTTAATAATAATTAGGATAGTTCCGTTGTACTGTGCTTTTAAGCCCTGCGACAGTCAAGCACAGATCAATGTTAGAGTGTTTGTGTTATATGATCCTAGTGCTAAGGACAACATGTAAACAATAGTCTAGGCCAGGAACACGTGGGTGACAGGATGAGCATCAATGATAAATGTTATCAGGGCTATTCTTATAACAAGCATGGCTAACCCAAGGTGGGTGTCAGAATGAGATGAGGGCAGACTTCATGGTATCCAGCATACATCACTGGGGCATCTGGAATACCATTTTCCAGGCACAGAATTTTAGCCAAACATTTTGACAATTTCCATGACAGTACAAATATGATTTAAGGCATTTGAAATGAAACATGGACTAAGTCATATTCAGGGAGTCACTGAAATTTGAGAAAAAAAACTATCAGGTTGTATTAAAGGCGACAAGTGAGTGAGTTTAGTTTTATGCCGCTTTAAGAAATATTCCAGCAATATCACGGCCGGGGACACCAGAAATTGGCTTAACACTTTGTACCCACGTGGGGAATCGAACCCGGGTCTTCAGCGTGACGAGCGAACGCTTTAACCACTAGGCTACCCCACCGCCCCTAAAGGCCACAAGATAAAAGCTACATAAAATATAAAAAAGTCTCTTTCACCTCTTACAGGTTTTTCTAAGGCTGTGTTTTACTGGTGCTGGCACCCATCTTGACCCTTTTACCAAGAATTCTGGTAAGGGCAAGCCATATGGTGTGAACATGATAACCATACTGCCTGGAGGGATGTGAAGTTATCATAGGTGGACTGGCAGAGGAAAGACCAAAGTAACCAATGACCATGTAATCAATAACTACAGACAACATGATCATGTTGGAACATTTATTAAACTCACACACATTTATACTGGTGTTACCATAGTCTCTCAGTTAAATAATGAGCAAGTGATATACATTATATACAAGATACAAATCTGATGACAATGAATGGGTCACTAAATATGCTAACATATACAATGAACTTTACATGAGAAAAATGTTAGTATTTTTGTGTTAATTTCTTCAGTTTATTTGGATGTATGTACAAAGATAAAATCAGTTTGGACAAGTCTGAATGTTTGAATAATCCAGGATGTGCTAAAGTGACATATATGGTTAACCTCATGAAAAAAACATCTGTAAATAAAAAAGGATTTTTTTTCATGTTTTTTTAAAGTATGGTGTACATACTGCTCCAGTTTAAAGAACTTCATGATTTGATGAGAATGTACAAAATATCTCGGTGTACAGTGCACCGAGCCAAGCAGTATCAACAGCATGTCTACCATGTACATGGCTAATGGAATATTTACACATGATAAATTACTGTACTCTGGTTAACACTTTTGTACACATGATATAACAGATGTATTCATCAACATTTGAATACTGCATATTATTATCAAATTTCCATGTGTCTATCTACAACAGTGATCAAGCTCCATCAGGTGTTTGGGGCTGATGCCCTCCTAAAATCAGGACTAAATCTAACCTGTTTTAACAAAGTTCCTGTCATTGGTCACTCTGAAATACATAAGATATTGGTTTGTAAATAGGATTGTGCTATTTGATACTAATGAAGAAATCCCACAAGACTACACTGATGCTATAGCAAATGCTATAAATAGACTTTCACGCATCCAAAAGCATGCTTTTGCCATCCAGCTGATAAAACCCCTTTAGGAGACTTGCTGTTACACTTAAAATACTGACCTGTCAATCCAAAAGGATAAACAAATATTATACATATATACAAAGGGAAAACATTACAAAAATGTTATTAAGGTGAGGTACTCATTTTACAGAAATACTCCCAACCAAACAAGTTTGTCACATGGTAATTTGTCTTGTTGACAGCAGCTGGACCAAGACATGACTACCATGTGAGATCTTGTTTTGTTGACAGCAGCTGGACCAAGACATGACTACCATGTGAGATGTTGTTTTGTTGACAGCAGCTGAACCAAGACATGACTACCATGTGAGATCATTTTTGTTGACAGCAGCTGGACCAAGACATGACTACCACGTGAGATCTTGTTTGTTGACAGCAGCTGGACCAAGACATGACTACCATACCATGTTGAGATCAAAGACATGACTTTTGTTGACAGCAGCTGGACCAAGACATGACTACCATCGTGAGATGATGTTTTGTTGACAGCAGCTGGACCAAGACATGACTACCATGTGAGATCATGTTTTGTTGACAGCAGCTGGACCAAGACATGACTACCATGTGAGATCATGTTTTGTTGACAGCAGCTGAACCAAGACATGACTACCATGTGAGATCATGTTTTGTTGACAGCAGCTGACCAAGACATGACCAAGACATGACTACCATGTGAGATCATGTTTTGTTGACAGCAGCTGAACCAAGACATGACTACCATGTGAGATGTTTTGTTGACAGCTGGACCAAGCTGACCAAGACATGACTACCATGTGAGATCCATGTTTTTTGTTGACAGCAGCTGAACCAAGACATGACTACCATGTGAGATCATGTTTTGTTGACAGCAGCTGACAAGACATGTGAGATCATGAACCAAGACATGACTACCATGTGAGATCTTGTTTTGTTGACAGCAGCTGGACCAAGACATGACTACCATGTGAGATCATGTTTTGTTGACAGCAGCTGAACCAAGACATGACTACCATGTGAGATGTTTGTTGATGACTACCATGTTTTGTTGACAGCAGCTGGACCAAGACATGACTACCGCATGATGAGATCATGTTTTTTGTTGACAACAGCTGGACCAAGACATGACTACCATGTGAGATCATGTTTTGTTGACAGCAGCTGGACCAAGACATGACTACCATGTGAGATCATGTTTTGTTGACAGCAGCTGGACCAAGACATGACTACCATGTGAGATCATGTTTTGTTGACAGCAGCTGAACCAAGACATGACTACCATGTGAGATCATGTTGACAGCAGCTGGACCAAGACATGACTTGTTTTGTTGACAGCAGCTGAACCAAGACATGACTACCATGTGAGATCATGTTTTGTTGACAGCAGCTGGACCAAGACATGTTTGAGATGTTGACAGCAGCTGGACCAAGACATGACTACCATGTGAGATCATGTGAGATCATGTTTTGTTGACAGCAGCTGGACCAAGACATGACTACCATGTGAGATCATGTTTTGTTGACAGCAGCTGGACCAAGACATGACTACCATGTGAGATCATGTTTTGTTGACAGCAGCTGGACCAAGACATGACTACCATGTGAGATCATGTTTTGTTGACAGCAGCTGAACCAAGACATGACTACCATGTGAGATCATGTTTTGTTGACAGCAGCTGATGACTACCATGTGAGATCATGTTTTGTTGACAGCAGCTGAACCAAGACATGACTACCATGTGAGATCATGTTTTGTTGACAGCAGCTGGACCAAGACATGACTACCATGTGAGATCATGTTTTGTTGACAGCAGCTGGACCAAGACATGACTACCATGTGAGATCATGTTTTGTTGACAGCAGCTGGACCAAGACATGACTACCACATAAGTTCTCATCTTGATAACAGCAGTTGAAACAAAATGGAAGTTTTGTTAAACCAGCTGTGAAAAAAGAAAGATTTTGATTGGTTAGTTTTCTCAGAGGTAGATGTGATTTGAGAATACTGATGGTTTACTTTTCAATCAATTGTTTTATCTATACAGTTTGTGTTTAACATGTTCACTGCAATAAATGCTAAAACAAAGTGATGTATCATGAATGATTCAGTAAAATCTGCACTAAAAGCAATGCGTTCCTGTTAGCTGACTCACTGCATAACTGGACCATGGTCTTCTTCTTATCATGTCCAGTGTCACATGCAGGATGTACTCAGTCCACCTCTGACACCAAGACAGACCTTGACCTTTCTAATCATGTGTGGTAGCAATCACAACAGAAGCATCAAGTAAACACAGTCGATCCAAACTGCAGTCATTTGCCATAGATTAAATATATTTTGAGCAGACTTTACATGTCAACGTTCTCCTTATCCTGTGAGGATTTGAGAGCCCCGAGCCGGCACTGACGAGCTGCGTCGATCTTCTTTGTCTGCTTCCTGTGCATGATGACACGTGGGGAGTTGGTGTCTATGACAACAGTGGAGAGTGGGGAGCGGGGTGGGGTGGAGGTGAGCACAGACTTAGGGGTGGAGCTGAAGGCCTTGCTGGTTTTCTTCTTGTCGTAGAAAAGCTTCTTTGGTTGTGTCTTCTGTCCTTTCGGTTTCTTTGTGACAACTGGCTTAGCTGGAAAATAACACAGGCCCTCCATTACAGTAGGTTACATAACGAATCATCCAAGCAGATTACACTAGCATTTTTTCAAAAACATGGGTTGAATTGAATCTGGGAATTCATCATAATTCTCATATCAATAATACGATAAGGATAAATGCTATATTTGGGATCCCACTTTCTCAGTAACATGCAGATTCTTGTACTTTTAGGGGTTGTGTTCCATCCAGAATTGATCCCACACTCTCAGAGTGAGGCACCTAATCGTCAACACACTAACCCACTGAGCCACCACAGTTTCCACATAATTGAAGTCTGACAATTGGTAGTCTAGATCACACACTTTGTGTACCACTCTGGCTAATGGAAACATGATATTCAAACAGAAAATACATCATTATTATTTATCTGTCATGTTTTCCAAAAGCAGTTGAAACCTGCATAACCCTGGGGAACAATGTTGTGGTGACAGTTCAGGATCATCTGGTAGTCAAGTGTCATGTAGTACCTTATCATGCCATCTACACTTTGTTCCTACCATATACCCTGTATTCTGTTTGTTGAACTGGTTTAAGATGTAATAACATGCTCAATAAACTTAATAAACGTGAGTGAGTTTAGTTTTACGCCACACTCAGCAATATTACAGCTATATGGCGGCGTTCTGTAAATAATGGAGTCTGGACCAGACAATCCAGTGATCAACAACATGAGCATCAATCTGTGCAATTGGGAACCGATGACATGTGTCAACCAAGTCAGCAAGCCTGACTACCCGATCCCGTGTCGCCTTTTACAACAAGCATGGGTTACTGAAGGCCAATATTCTAACCCGGACTTTCACAGGCTTCACAACTCAGGATTACAAAGTGTAACATCTTAAATTGAGGCAAGGAGAAATGGGGTGCTTGTTATTCCAACCATAGAATGGCGAGGGGGATTAATGTAGCCCTATGCAAACTCAACCCAGTCTTCAGCATGAGGAGTGAACTCTTTAACCACGCCACATTGTTTCCAGAAATAAACAATATAAACATGACGAGCAGTAGGGTAGCCCAGTGGATAAAGCGTTCGCTCGTCTCGCCAAAGACCCCGGACTTGATTCCCCAGATGGGTACAATGTGGGAAGCCCATTTCTGGTGTCAATGCTGTGATATTGCTGGAATATTGCTTAAAGCGGCATGAAACCCAGCTCACTCACTAATAAAAGTTGCCAGTTATGCCAGTTGGTAATTCATTTCTCCAATCTAATCAGTCACCCTTGGGCAATTTAGGCAAATGCATAATTTCATTTTGATAGCTGCACAGCTGAATGGGTTTTCCCCACAGTGAATGACAACAATGAGAGTAAAGACAAAACATATCCCAAGCGAAAACATGGCGGGTAGATGGGAGAAATATGTCAAGTGAGGGTTGAGAATCTTGTGGAAGGATTTTGTCAGGGCAGGGCTTGAACTGCTTTGGACACCTGATATTTTAACCAGCAGTGGATGATGAGGACACTAAACATTTGAACGAACTGGAATGTCTGGTGTAAGTTGGGAGCGATTCCTTACTGAGGAAACAACATCTCAAACAGGACTCACGGTTTGTAACAAGAAGACTTGCAGACTCATCCGCGTCGGACAGTGACATGTGTTGTAGTTCTGCTACTGCTGCCACCGCCCCCCAAGTCATCCTTCATGTCCAGTTTGTCTGCCTCGACATCGTCATTCTTGCGTGACATGTCTGGACTTGTGTTGTCCTCCAGGAGAGGTTTGACGTCCTCTTGCACAGACTTGAATTCATCTTCAGGAAACAGAACATGGTTGACAAATTATGATCTTACATTGAAAATTATGCAAGACAACTTAAACACTTGTTTCTGTGTGAATGTTGTTTGACACTTCTCTCTGCAACATTCCAGCGTAGTCGCGTAGATCTGACCGAACAAACAATTGCTATAAGAGAAGCATGCCATACCATCCGGTACAATGACATACATTCAAATAACAAAACTTTATTACCACTAATACCAGATTCATTTATATTTTTTATTACTAGAATGCTACATAGATTATGGCAATCGGGATCTTTTCTACTCAGAAAGCAAAACTCCCAGAATTCCTTGTGTTTCCAGAAACTCAGACAACAAAACAATTCACTTAGAGAATTGTGTACTTAGACCCTGGTCATTTTTCTCATATTTATATGTGCATTATTTACTCAAGAGAAGAGAACTAAGCTTGATGTCTAAATGTTTTCCTTCACAGACAACAATGAATCCACCTCACATAAGTCATAACTGTATAAGCATGAAATCAGAAAGTTTCAGCTTCTGGGAAATTTTATCATCGTTTGTTGCAAATTCATTCATGCTTAAATTGATACCCAAATATGTCCAGGCGGAACTGGCTCTCATTCCTGTAATAATTATGACTGACTGACTAACTGAGCTTGGGTTTACGCCGCTTTTAGCAATATTCCACAGCAACATCACGGTGGGGGACACCAGAAATGGGCTTCACGCATTGTACCCATGTGGGGATTCGAACCCGGGTCTTCGGCGTGACGAGCCAACGCTTTAACCATTAGGCTACCCCACCGCCCCCTGTTATAATTATGAACATATATGAATCAATGAATATATGAACTCAGCAAATAAGCTTATCTCATTAGGCAGTAGTATTAATCAAAAGATGTGAAACTTCTGATTTCATAGACAGTTGCTGAAAATTGAATTGGAGATATAGATGAAATTTAATCAGTGCATGCAGCATTTTCAACAGATTAAGTCAAAATGTTACAATTGGGGATGCTGATGACTGATGTGCTTTCATATTCTATGCTTGAGATTCCACTTTCTCAGTGAAGTACAGATTCAAGTACTTTTTTGTGTTGAATCCTATCCATGGCTGCTGAGTGGGCTAGATCACTGTGTGTTAGCCATTCGGTGCCTCATTTTGAGAGTGTGGGTTCAAATCCTGGATGGGACACAGCCCCAAAAAGTACTAGAATTCTGTATTTTACTGAGAAAGTGGAATCCCATATATACCATGTTACATGTGACCCCTCTCTTAGCAGCATTGTGTATTGTCTTCATGTGCTGTAAGCTCACATGCTGCTGCACTAAGGCTGGGCTTCATGAGCCGTTGTTAGACATTTCCATTTCGCCAGTTATAATATCTGATGTTGTTATACATGAATAACAAAACGCTTTATAATGTTTTACCTTTTTTCATAAAATTGTTAATTGGCGTTCTCCAAATTCCAGGAGTTGGGGAGCGTGGGTCAAGAAGTCCATCAGGTGTTTTGTCCACTATGATAGGTGTACGTGGAATGTTGTTGGTAGGTGAGCGGGGATCATCATCTAGTTGGCGACTGCCAATTTGACACTTGACTGGGGTACCTGTACCATCATCCAACATTTCGACCTTGCTGCCAATACCTCCCATGATGAAATGTTAACTGGAAAATAAACACAATGGTATGACTTCCGCCCATATCCCCCTTAAACTTTAACGAAGAGGAAAAGATAGATAGATATCTCTATCTATATATATACTATTCAGGTAATATGATTTAATGGAAGTAGGTATCCTATGTTCAGATTAAAATGCCAGCATAAGCATACGCCATTAGGGTTAGGTTTAAGGGGGGATACGGGCGGAAGTCTTTCCAAAACAACGACATGTACTGTCAGTATTAGCATGATTTGTACCTACGGTATACAATGGATGCAGAAATAATGGTAAGATTACAAAATACCGGATACCTTCCGCCATCTTTGAAAGCATGTGAGTTTACTTAGGGTTAGGGTAAGGTTCAGGGTTACGGGATTTAGGGTAAGGGATAGGCTGACGTTACACTAAACAATATGGCTGATAGGTATCTGGTATTCTGTAAGTGTACCGAAATAATATATATTGTGTCAAGGAGGGACGCAGAAAAATATTTGTTTTACCAAATTCTTAACAAAAAATATAAAGCTTCTGTTACACCTTAAAGTACAGTGCACTGAACTATTTCATTACTTAACAGGACCATTACATTTCCTGTGAGGACCCTTGAAATTAGAAATTATGGGTCATCTTGGCCCCTTGTATTGTAAGGCAAAGTAAAAGCCTGCTAGTGGTTGGATGAATACTTGATCATGAGAGTGGAAGAGGGATTGATGATGAAAGGACTCACAAGCAGATGTCTTTCTCTGATTCCTGTGGGTGAGTATTGCCGGGGCTGAAGGGTTCGTTGTCGGCACGGGTACTACAGATATGTACCCCAGGTACATTTCTGTATACAGCTATGTACCCTGGCCATAATGAGAATACAGAAACGTACCCTAGGACGATTCCATTCCCATTGTGTCGTATTCGTGAACGGAACTGTCATGCTGTTGTATTAGATACATTTGATTGCGTTATGTAAGTACTGAGAATACACAGTAACGGATATTTCGCGATGCATATGAATACCACTTGCAATCAGTTGAATGGGAACAACTACATGCGGTTTCGGTTTTGGATTGCGGAATATGGACTCATCCGCCTTTTAGGGTACCGGGTACGTTGCTGTATTTTGACTTCGTTTAGGGTACATATCAGTATACCGAAACGTACCTGGGGTACGTATCTGTAGTACCTGTGCCGACAACAACCCCTTCAGCATTGCTGTGTCCTCCCTCTAACAGTCCCCACAGCATATATATGTAGCAAAACAAACACCCCATCAATCTGTACTGTATTTCAGGGGGTGCCAGTCAAATCGCCCCAGCTACAAAACGCCCAAGCCAATTTGGTCAAAATGACCCGGATTTTTGGTCAAATCGCCCCAGGTTTGGTCAAATTGCCCCAGTGTATTTAAATTGGTTAAAGATATGCCACAAATGCATAGTTTTTGTCAACTTCCATATTATATGCTATATATAATATTATATAGTGATTGTTTTGATGCAAATTTAGTTACAGAAAGCTGAAATGTTGTTAGAACGAGCATTGAGATGGAATTGCTTATCATAAACGTGTTCTATAAAGTACATTCATAACTGGATTTTAACGCCACATTAGGGTGGCCAGTGGTCAACGGTGAGATCAACCATCTACATGTTATTCGGAAAAATGTCAGATTATCACTTATATCAGACATCTGGAGATGGCCTTTATTTCTCGGCGTTTTTACCCCAGGAATATGTCCAAATTTGTCTCTAACTTCACATATTATCAAACATCAAAAAGCATATCGTTTCTAACAAATGTGATCCATTAAAGCAGGAGGCCAATATTGCACAAACCACTGCCTACCTCCTTTCCATGCAGACAATGTTCCGAATGCAAGTTTGAACTTCCCGCTCTGACCAATGAAATGCCGCGGCATGTTGTAGAAGGGACAAAATATCAGTAAGGACACGATCTTTGATTGGTTTATAAGAAACCGGTACCAAGGGGGATAACATCCGGTTATCTAGTCAAAGCATGACAAGTGAAATGGCTATGGAGCAACTAAAACAACATTTGTCTAAGATAAGATCACCCGCTGGCGGCGAGAAGGTCTACAAAGATGAATGTGCATATTCTTTTGATAATCCTGTATGTATCAATTCGGTGACTTTCCATTTTGTAATTTCTCGAGCAGTGACTGTTAAACTTCAAATCCAACTGGGCACCTGGGCTAAAACAAGATCAAAACTGAAAATGAAATAAATAATGTTCATTGAAGTCAGAATGAAAGTTACTCTGTTGGCTTATATGTTCTTTAGCATTTACATGTTCATAAAGCAATATCTTGATAAAGATATGTATTTTACAATTTCACAAAATAGAACTTGCCAGCCGACGTTTTCTTTGTTAAATTGATTGTTTATGTTTGTTTTATATTGATAAGGATATGTAGCATGTTCTGTATCATCACCTGAATGAATAACAGTTGCCGAAAATTAACCGATTTCAAAAGTGTATGGAAAGCCTGAAATAGAACTTTTACTGAATATGTCTTGACGACTAGGGTGGAATAAAGGCCCCTTAGTTTCTTTTAGGTTGAACTATTTGAGTGAAAATCTGAAAATGTTGTAATTTGGGTTTTTTCATACTGACATGTGCTTATTAATCAACTATAGAAGAGTGCAGTAGTAAAGATTTAGTTCACTGGCATATTTTTAATTACTTCATCAGGAGAGTGAAGATGGGCTGTACGTGTGTATGAACACATTCCTTGGTGTGGGAAAGAAACATCTGATGAGACACTACAACAAGACAGGAAATGCTGTGTTTCTCAGGATCAAGAGAATTCGCATTGAAGTATGTATCAGTTTGTTTGTACTTGACGGTTACAGCAGAAAGGAGCTGGGCCTAGATCTCAATCAATGTGAAATTTAGCCCTTCAGTACCATATATCTCCATCCATCATGGTAACTTAACATGTATATCATGCATAATGCCCAGGTCCTAGTAAAGCCATACCTGTTGCCCTGGCCATTGTGATCAAATTTGTCTGTAGAATATTCATGAAAATATAATACGTTAACTGTATAACTGTCTGAATGAATCCAATGATTGAGTATGCATGAATTAACACTCCAGTGAAAATACTTCAACACATTCAAGATTGACTTGCGCCCAATGTCCTGCGCATTGCGCTTTTAACATTCCTTAATAACATCACCAAGTGGTGATTCTTCGTTATGATCATAATGATATTTCCTCACCAACCTATGTTGAAAGAGAAGACCTATAGGATCAGACAGTCAGACAGACTTATTATATAGTCTGTCAACAGTGTATGAAATAAGGCCCGTCCGACCGCCCAAGACATGCTAGATTTCTGACGGACGGTCTAAACTTACAGCTAGCCAGCCCGATGTTCTGGTGCAAAATTCCATACATCTGTGTCTGGTCTGAGTTACCAGCCCTGATGTCTGCCTGGGTTTTTGGCTTATTTCATACACTGCTGTCAACCTAACTTTTGTATCTTTGTGCCCAGTTACTACTCTTTGTTATGATTTATTAATAATAATGTATATGGGGTAAACCATATTAATTTAGTAATGTCCACAAGTCCTGCGAATTCCATGACCATTTTGTATTGTTAAGAATTGTTTATTGACTGTTGGTATGATACTTGTGCTGGTGTCTAGTGCTGTTTCTACAGAATGTTCAAAGTTACTCTGTCCTTTGCAGATTCCGCAGGCAGAGGAGACAGAGCCTCAAGTGAAACCAACAAAACTTGCAATAGGTAATAGTTGCAGGAACCTTTTACTGTCACTGTTTTGTCCAGAGTGCCCTTTTCTCTAAAACAAACAGTGATGGACATAGCAGATACTCCCCATTCAAATTCACATATCGGGCATTTTTGACCCAAGTGACATGAAACAACATCAATTCCTGAAAAATATAATCATTCTTGTCTGATAAATACCATTGGTAAAGGTTTATGATTTATGTAAGTCAATTTTTCAATAAATACCATTGGTAAAGGTTTATGATCTATGTAAGTAAATTTTTCTCAAAACTCCATATTGTTTTTTATTCCAAATTTTGTGATTGCAGGTGTTTTGGTGATGCATCTTGGTTTTGTAATGACATTGATAAAGTGACATGTATTTAATATGTTTGATATTTGGCCCGATCAGTTGCCACATTATGCATATTAGCCTAACCCTAACCTTAACCTAACCTGTAATATATGGTAATTCATCTGATCAGTGTTCATCACAAGAATTTAACTGATAAAACACCATAACTGGTAACTGGTGACTGAGCAACACACCCTAATAGATATTTACAGTGAAGCCTCGTTAATCCGGACGGTTGCGTTTCTCAGCAAATTCGTCCGGATTGTGAATAGTCCGGACTACTGAATCAAGACCAAAGTTCAAGCAAGAGTTGCTTCCCTTACTATTACAAAAACGACACGAATCTGGATAAAACAAATAAGCATTTAATGTAAAGCTTATAAAACGATGAATAGCAAGTACAACAATAATCTATAGTCATAGCAAAAAGTCTTTCATTGTTGTTTGTGTTCGTTTAACCTTCCTCATTGAATTCATCACATCAATAATTTTACCGAGTGGCATCCGCATGTTGATCCGATTTGTCTGATCACGTCCTTCCTCAGCACAGGTGAGGTAATGTCTAACAAGCGATCTATTGTAGTATGCCTTGAATGTCCGAATTATTCCTGCATCCATCGGTTGAATATGAGATGTGGTATTTGGTCACATTTCGCAAAGTTAGCGAAGCACACTTGTGACTTGCAGCGTTGTCGAGAAGCAAAATCACTTTAAGTCCACGTGACTGCATCTGTCTGTCAAAGTTCATTAACCAATCACAAAACAGCTCACTTGTCATCCACGCCTTTGTATTGTGGTGTCAATCAAAGTGTAAATGTACAGCATCTTCAGTCGGGAGCTTTTAATGTCTAATTAAAACAAGAACCCTTAATAGACATTTCTCAAAAGTTAACAAGAGTTCATCTTGTCAACTCCATGACACCGAGTTTTTATTGTTTATGGCCAGTTAAGTAAACATCGCCGGGGGGTCTTGTTATGGTTCGTGAACACGACTTACAGCATCCGGACTGTGAAGCAATTTACTGTTTATTTTACTGATTGGTTACAGCTACTTACCGTCCGGTTCCGGAAACCGAATTTCTCCCTTATGCCCTTATCTCCCTTTATGCCCATTCAGGCGAAATCATGGCGAAATGTTCTGCGTCTAATTCTGCCAAGGATTGAATGTTGTTGTTTAAAGATAAGCTAAATAAGAAGATCTTTAAGGGTAATAAATTCGTCCCAATGTGTTTTGAAAGGGTGTACGGGACCTTGAAATTCTGTGTTTCCTGAGGCTATGGAATTTACAAGGGTCTTACAATCCCGTATACCCTTTCAAAACACTGTGTAACTAATAGTGTATAAGAACTTACATTGTTAATGTTAAAATTGAAACTGACCACCATGTACATGCCAATTTTGAATTTCATCCTGAAAGTTAAGGGAATGTTTTCGTGAATATGTATTGAAAGATGCATTTTCATTTCAGAATACATTTGTTTGTTATTTACCTTTGTATGAAGTACAGGTAACTGTTTCTGTTAGTATATATAAGATGGTTACTGATGTTTTGCCTCCAGGAGTGGAGGGAGGGTTCCAGGTGGATGAGAAGAAGTTCCGGTTTGAGGAGACAACCTCCATCGTGGTCATGCCTGACTACCTGGAGATAGCAGTGCCAAACCCAGATCTCCCCGACGCTGTAAGTCACGTAAACATGTGTATGTTTAAATGTCAGGAAGGAAAGGAAACTGTTAGAGTATTTTGAAATTACAATAATAGGATTCAGATTTTATTGTGCAGGCAGATGAATTGTTAGTTACTGTTTGTGAACAAGCAACTGTATCTGAAACTGTGATGTCACTTATCCCGACTCATGCTATTTGCTTGAAGGTAGGCAGCATCCTAATTTTAAATTCATGTACTGTTCATATAAACCCCTAGGAAGCTTAATCATGGATGGAAAGGGGTACCACCTTCTTTTTGGAACAGTAGAAGTAATTCTTAAAGATTTCGTGGATTTGTAAGACTTGCATAGAATAAATTCTTGGTTGTTTAAGAAAATCTGTATGTTAAGAATAGGTCATGACCTTGACTGAATTGCATCACTCATGCTCTGAATTACATAGTAAAATGGGGTCTTGGATTCTCAGTCATTGGTTATGGGACACAAGTCTATGTTATTTTTGGTGAGAATTATCTTCTTTAAGGTACTATCAGTTAAATTAATATTAATAAATACAAACATTATCTTCTGAAGCAAAATGTCTAAGATATTGGTTGGCAAAGACAATATCAGATTTCCAGAAACATCCTCCCATAATGGACATGGCCCACACATTGTATGACACTGTCATGTGGAACTGACCTAAACACATTGTATGACACTGTCATGTAGAACTGACCTAAACACATTGTATAACACTGTCATGTAGAACTGACCTAAACACATTGTATAACACTGTCATGTAGAACTGACCTAAACACATTGTATAACACTGTCATGTAGAACTGACCTAAACACATTGTATGAAACTGTCATGTAGAACTGACCTAAACACATTGTATAACACTGTCATGTGGAACTGACCTAAACACATTGTATAACACTGTCATGTAGAACTGACCTAAACACATTGTATGACACTGTCATGTAGAAATGACCTAAACACATTGTATGACACTGTCATGTAGAACTGACCTAAACACATTGTATGACACTGTCATGTAGAACTGACCTAAACACACTGTATAACACTGTCATGTAGAACTGACCTAAACACATTGTATAACACTGTCATGTGGAACTGACCTAAACACATTGTATAACACTGTCATGTAGCACTGACCTAAACACATTGTATGACACTGTCATGTGGAACTGACCTAAACACATTGTATAACACTGTCATGTGGAACTGATGTAAACACAATAACAGTCATGTAGAACTGACCTAAACACACTGTATAACACTGTCATGTAGCACTGACCTAAACACATTGTATGACACTGTCATGTGGAACTGACCTAAACACATTGTATAACACTGTCATGTGGAACTGATGTAAACACAATAACACTGTCAAGTGTCATGTGGAACTGCCCTAAATGATTGGCTGTTTGAAGGTATCATGGGGTATTACATCTGGATGTACTACATGTAGTGGGATCACCTTAAAAGGTGCTGACCAGTACCTTGTTTATGTAATGAGCCCATTCTTCACTGATTTACATATCTGTCTGTTTTAGTTGTTCTTATTAGGGAAATCGACCATTGTTCATTCAAAAATTCTGTTTACGATTTCAGAAATCTCAATCCTACCCCCAACTATTGATTGTCTCCATTCCTTTATGTATAATGACCTAAACACATTGGCCAACACTGTCACTGTCTGAGCACTAGTAGCCTAGTGGTTAAAGCGTTGGCTCGTCAAGCCGAAGACCCGGGTTCAAATCCCCACATGGGTACAATGTGTGAAGCCCATTTCTGGTGTCCCCTGCCGTGATGTTGCTGGAACATTGCTAAAAGCGGCGTAAAACCAAACTCAGTCCGTCAGTTATGTGTAATACCACGGAGCAGTGTACCTCTATAGCTATTGTAGTTTCATTTAAAAAAGGGGCGTATCTCAGTGTCACTTAATGTAGCTTCCCACAGAATATCTCGTGTTTGTGCGAGTGACTATTTTTAACAATGTGTTATTCAAATAGAACACAGGACCAAACTCTGGTAGAATCCAGAGTTTTGGAGAAGTGTGGAGGTTATACACTGTCAGAACCCTTTCTGTTGATTCAAACCACAAATACCGTTTGCTGCAGGTCCAGATCTCCGTGGCAACCATCCTGATGGCCGAGGATGCATGGAAGGTTGAGGAAGCAGCAGCCATGGCAGGAACCTGGGACGGGGAGATCCGACAGAAATCCAGGTGAGATCGGAAGTCAGTGAGTGAGCTGGGCTTCTGCTACTTTAAAAATATTCCAGTTATATCATGGCAGGTACACCAGATATGGGCTTTATACATTTTACCCATGTTGGGAACTGAACCCAGCTCTTTGGTATACCAGCAGATGCTTGAGCCACTAGGCTACCATACAAACCATTGTATAATTTGATGACAGGAGAAGATGCCTTAAGTCAAGCTTGCTGTTCTACTGTCCCTCGCAGTAGCAAATGATGTACATGATGTTCAACACAGTTCAGGGATTAATCACGGCAGTATCCCATTATGTTCATGGAAAGATGCCACAGTGTGAAACAATACATGCCCCCCATTATCTTACTGATGTTGTCAATACACTCTAGGTAATGTGTAAGTTTTTTACATTAACTGACTTGCATTTCATTACTTACTGGATCTTAAAAGAGAAACTGCTTTAGAACTCTGTTGTATACAGTATAGCCCTGAACACAATGCTGTATGGCTGAAGTGACACTGATGAACAACACTTACCTTAGAAACTAAGGTGAACAGTTGATCATGTGTAGGCGCTGTTCCTCATTCTGCTGTCTTGTTGTCCAGACATGCAGATAACCTGCTCCAACTGGACAATGGCCGCAAGATTCCACCTAGTGGCTGGAAGTGTGAGAGATGTGACCTTACCACCAACCTCTGGCTCAACCTCACAGACGGATCCATACTCTGTGGACGCAAATTCTTTGACGGCAGTGGCGGCAACAACCACGCTGTGGACCACTTCGCAGAGTGCAAGTATCCCCTTGCTGTCAAACTGGGCACCATTACCCCTGATGGAGCAGGTGCGTCTCTTCAACAGTGAATAAATAGGAGTAAATGGTCTTTATGAGCAGTTCATCACAATAACAAGCCTATGCCCAGGTGTGAAGAGAGTCAGACAGGGTTAAGTTTTGCCTGTATTTTATCATATGCTTTTCATGTGAACAGCACTGTTCTGTATCATTTACATTCATTGTGTTACATGTATACTTTAAGAATCAACCACATGTGATTAGAACATGTAGAATAGCTTCCAAGGGCTCTATCCACAAAGCATTTGTAGCACTGTGTCATTTGTAAGCCAATGATATAGTATAGATTGATGATACGTCGTAATGTTATGAATGCTTTACGAGGAGAACATTTCAGAACATCACCATCATATTCTGAATAAGTGGCTATGAACATGTTTAACTAGTAAATTTTGTCACATTTCTTGCCCTTGACAAGTGAACATTCTTTATATTTTCAAAATTATTGTCAAACTTTAGGTCAATTCACATCATTATTTATGATTGACTGTGCAGAGTTGTAATCCTTTCCTGCCCATATCCAATGTTGGTTTGGCTTCCTAAGTCTCTCAGATTATTGTCCTTTCCGTGTTAGTAACATACAGAGCTGTATAGCTACTTCCTCCCTCTGATGTCAAGTCAGTTGTTCTTCGTAGATGTGTACGCATATGATGAGGATGACATGGTCACACCTACATAGCTGTTACTTGATCTCATTAATGTCAATTCCTGAATTCCTCCTAGACGTGTACTCGTATGACTAGGATGACATGATCACCCGTACATAGCTGTTACTTGATCTCATTATTGTCAATTTCTGAATTCCTCCTAGACGTGTACTCGTATGACTAGGATGACATGGTCACCCCTACATAGCTGTTACTTGATCTCATTATTGTCAATTCCTGAATTCCTCCTAGACGTGTACTCGTATGACTAGGATGACATGGTCACCCCTACATAGCTGTTACTTGATCTCATTAATGTCAATTCCTGAATTTCTCCTAGACGTGTACTGGTATGATGAGGATGACATGGTCACACCTACATAGCTGTTACTTGATCTCATTAATGTCAATTCCTGAATTTCTCCTAGACGTGTACTCGTATGACGAGGATGACATGGTCACACCTACATAGCTGTTACTTGATCTCATTAATGTCAATTCCTGAATTTCTCCTAGACGTGTACTCGTATGACGAGGATGACATGGTGCTGGATCCACATCTGACAAAGCACCTGGCACACTTCGGCATCAATATCGCAGCCATGCAGAAGGTAGGTTGGTTGGTTGGTTGGTTGGTTGGTTGGTTGGTTGGTTGGTTGTTTAACACCACACTATTACAGCTATATGGCGGCTGCAGAAGGTAGGACAGCATGACGCTGAAGGGTAAAATGTCATCTCCAATGAACAGATGGAACTAAAATTTACCTACCCTCAGCATGCTAAGTGTCCCTTTACAATCAGGTATTAATATCATTGTGGTCCTGAGTGAATGTGAGTATTGGTGGGTAACACAGGAAATGGACTTCACACATTGTATCCTTGTGGAGAATTGAACCCGGGCCTTCAACATGATGAGCTGACAGTTAAACCACTACTCTACCCCACGGCCCTAAAATATGTGGGGCTTTTCACCAAGAGAGTTACCTCCCTTCTTTCTTTACATGCTACTTATCACTAATCACTAGTAAAGGTGTGTTACCATGCTTACAGACCGAGAAGACGATGTTGGAGCTTGAGATTGATCTGAATCAGAAGATTGGCGAGTGGGACGTCATCCAGGAGGCAGGGAGCAAACTGACACCGATGTACGGCTCGGGATATACTGGGATGCGTAACCTTGGCAACAGTTGTTATATGAACTCTGTTATGCAGGTGATGATGACGATTCCTGACTTCCAGCAAAGGTGAGTCTTCACAGCATGGATGTTTGCATCATCAGTTTGTTACATTAATGAAGGCATATGATGCAGGAGAGGTTGAAGGTGGTGGAACTGTAGACATTGTTTGTGATATGAATTTATTTCATTTGTTTTCTGTTGTCTGTCAAGGTTCTGTTTGTACTTTAATGCCAAAGTCAACAGTATTATGTCTGTAATCCAAAGCTTTTACTGACAGTGTGAGCAATGTTCCTTGGTATCAGGCTGGTTGGTTGTTGTTTAACGCCACAGGATCAACAAGTTTTGTGTCAGACCATCCAGTCTAGCTTCTCTGGTAGGTAACTGGGGACAGTTCCAGGCTAGAATCACCAGATGTGTACACAGGTCAGGCCATATGGAACTGTGCAGTAAATTGTTACGGTTGATTCCCAATTTGAAATTAATAAAGTGGGAACTGTTTTAGAAAGCTCAAGAACTCAACCATCCTTCATTTAGATTGGATGGTCAAAATTTGCTCATAGTTTACCTGACCTCAACTCCTGTGGAGGTGTCTGCAGTTCTTAATGCTGAATGGTGTCAAATCAGTGTCAAAGATTTGATTTTGATGAGATTGTATTACTTCTTCAATACTGACCCCTTAGCCTCCAGACTCTCTCTCTTCTGATGCCACACACACATTGCCAGCCCTCAAAGTTCATGCTGATCTGGAGCTGGAAATAGTGCTGCAGACAACAGAAATATCCTTTGAAAGTCGGTGGCATTTCAGGGGCCAATTTCTAAACCATTTCTTGTTGTCCCCCGCCTAACGCATAACAAGGAACTATGTATTCAGTGACGCGTACATCTGTACGTCTGTACGTACATCCCGATTCTTGTTAACGCGATATCTCATGAACTGTTGTACCCAATGTCTTCGAATTTGGTGACAGCCTACATTGGGGGATTATGCAGACACCAGTTTATTTGAGTGACCTTGACCTTATCTTCAAGGTCATCACGACCGCTTTTCAAACTTATATAAACGCGATATCTCATAAAACATTGCACCCAATGTTTTCAATTATGTTGACAGCCTACATTGGGTGATTATGCAGACACCAGTCATTTCAGGCATCTTGTATGTGACCAAAAAATAAAAAGTAGTAAATACAGATATTCCATTCTTTAGCAGCAGGGGACATTGCCATATCAGTGGCAAACACTTGTTGATGCTCAAATTTTGCATCAGAATTTATAAAACGGACAGAAAATGTAAACAAAGTAATCATTATCGCTTGGTTCAGCGTGTTTAAACTACAAACTCTGAAGACTAATGAATGAAGGGACTAATTTATTCAGGGTTGTCTCCCCTTCACAGATCTGATATGGAGTGACATGGATGAGTGACTTATCAAGCTTCATGTGGTTTGATATTAGCTGGATCTCACATTGTCAGAATTATTCATGTTCCCCAACAGAAGAGAAATATTCATTGCCAAACAAACTTTGACACTCTGTTTCAGATATTATGCAAAAGAGGAGGAAATATTCCAGTCTGCACCATCCATTCCTGCTGGAGACTTTAATGCTCAAATGTAAGTACAATTGATTTATTAATGAGGTACAAGGTCTTAGGAACAGCCTCATGTCCTGATCATTGTAGAGGTACATGGAAATGTAGCAATCAAAGAATACCTTTGGTCAGAAGGTACTGGATTATCTATCTGTATAAGGTAATTTGGTAAATTACTGTTGCGAGGACTTTTTATATCAATTTCTGATCGACGAGTATATCTTTTGTTCTAAAATTACCATCTGGAAGTAAGTAGTTGTGGATCATTGATGTATGTGTTCAGTGCCTGAAGTTTGTTCATCACTTCCACTACATTCTCTACTTGCAGGGCTAAGTTATCTCATGGTCTGATGTCTGGGGACTACTCCAAGCCCCCAGTAGAAGGGGAGTCCGATACACAGCTAGTCCCAGTAAGTAGACACTTAATACCATTCCCGTCTCATTGGGAACCATGAAGATCAGGGTTAGAATTGGTCTTCAGCAACCCATGCTTGTCGTAAGAGGCAGCTAATTGGATCTGTTGGTCAGGCTCGCTGACTTGGTTGACACATGTCATGGTATCCCAGTTGCTCATGCTGTTGATCACTGGATTGTCTGGTCCAGAGTTGATAATTTACAAACCGCTGCCATTATAGATGGAATATTGTTGAGTGCGGTGTTAAACAACCAACCAACCAACCATCCAGTCACACTGGATGAAGCTACATTATAATGTACTTGACTGTCTGCTTGGTGTATTGGAATGAGTGTCTGCCAGGTGTGTGGAAGGCTGCTTCATATCAAAAGGGTGAGGTGAGGTGAAATTTGGTTTAACGTCTTGCTTGAGAATATTTCGCTCATATGACGACGTGCATGCATGTGTATGTGTATGTGCGGCTGCTTGTACTAGCCCAGACTTAAGCTGGTTTTATAGTGCTAGCCCACTGAGATACCTTGCCACAGTTAAGCATGAATACCCCACTCAGACACATTATACTGACTCTGAGCCGACCAGTCCATGTTGTACCCGTTACTGCCGAACGCCAGGCAGGGACCAACAAATACCATAGTTTAACGTCTTTTGGTATGACGTGGTCGGTGATCGAACCCGCGACCTTCCGCTCTCCGGGCGGACGCTCTAACCACTACACCATGGAGGCGGTCATATCAAAAGGGGCGGTGGGGTAGCTTAGTAGTTACAGCGCTCACTTGTCAGTCCATAGACCCAGGTTCAATTCCCTAAATGGGTACAATGTGTGAAGCCCATTTCTGGAGTCCCCCACCATGACATTGCTGGAATATTGCTAAAAGCGGCGTAAAACCAAACTCACTCACTCACTCATATCAAAAGACTTTCAGTCATGGTACTTGTTGTTACCCTGGATGGATAAACAGAGATTGGTTGACTCTGAATCAGTTTACTGTGTCTCAATGGAGTATCTGTTCCATCATTTTACATGGCTCAGTGGGCTGTCACAAAAATAAGTCAATAGTCCTGACAAGTACAAGCGACCACAGACAATGACACACATACATGCACATCACTATAGAAGTGCAGTTATTCATTATATCCCATTCCATGTCAACACCTCACCCCGTCATCATCTGTTCTTGTTCTCGGAGGTAAGAATGAATCTGGGATGTTACTGTTTTGTCTTGTCAGTATCACCTTCTCAGATGCCCTGGCCTGAGGTGCAGTATGTGTGTTACGGGAAGCACCATCAAATCATAATCATTCACCTTGGTAGACATAGTTTAATTTTCCAATAGTGATAGATTAAATATTTTTATCCAGCCTCATGTAATAATGTCGAGTTTTGATTGGTTCACGTGACTCTGATAAAATACCATGTACACCTGTCATGATCCGCGAGCAGGGAGTACAAAAGTCATATTATCCGCCACGCCTCGGTGACCACGCGAAGTGAGAAAAGCGTGCATCGCCAAGCCTTTAGTAACGTGCGCTGCATTGAGGTCAATCGATCAGCTGTTTTCAACATGGCAGCAAGGAAACGTTTTGCCACAACAACTGAGAATGAAATTGAAGCAAAACGTTGTTTAGTAAAAACATTCGGCTAGATAAATGCGTTATCACATCGTGTCAAGGGAAAACAACCTTACTCGGGACTGATAAAACCCCGTATTTCCCTCGACACGATGTGATAACTTATAATAATATGTCTTCTTAGGGTTTATAGTTAAATTGATATCTCTGTTTCTTCTCCAGCCACCAACAGGTATTCGGCAGCAGATGTTTAAGACGTTGGTTGGACGAGGACATCCGGAGTTCTCCACCAAGAGGCAACAAGATGCACAGGAGTTCTTCCTTCATATCCTCACACTCATAGAGGTCAGTACTGGGGGATCTGGCAAGTACTGTGAGAATGGATCCAGGGGTTACTGCAGGTTTATGCAATGTGAACCCTGGAGAAATAGAGGTCAACAACTGCAGTGTCCATCTTCATACCTGGATGTTTCCTGTAGTAGAGGCTACTTTGTGGTCACCATGTATGTCTATTCTTGAACTTCACAACATACCAACAGACTAACTGGAGTCCATTCTTATTGCAGCGTAACAGTCGGGGGCATGTCAATCCGTCTGACTGTTTCCGGTTTGAGATTGAGGACAAGGTCAAGTGTTGTGGGTCAGGGAAGGTCAAGTACACAACGAGAGAGGATTACTGTCTGGCTTTACCGGTGCCGATGGAGGCAGCCACCAATATAGGTATGATCACTAGGTACACATCCCTCTCACACCTCAACTGCTCATTCCTCACTCCTCTACATGTTCCTCACTCTTGTCCATTTGCGACCCGTGAAGGTCCAGGTTAGAATGAACCTTCAGTAACCCATGCTTGTCGTAAGAGGCGACTAACGGGATTGGGTGGTCAGGCTCGCTGACTTGGTTGGTCAACATGTCATCGGTTCCCAATTGCGCAGATCGATGCTCATGCTGTTGATCACTGGATTGTCTGGTCCAGACTCGAATATTTACAGACCGCCGCCATATAGCTGGAATATTGCTGAGTGCGTCGTAAAACTACACTCGCTCTTGTCCATTTGCATCTGAACTCTGCTTGCCTTGCTGACCTTTCACAGTCAAACATGTTGTTCAATTCACTCCAGTTTTTGTTGATATTTCTCTATAACATTATGTAATGTCCATACAATATTTCACTGTTAGGTAATAGTGTGAGACTCTATTTCAATCAAGCTTGTATTTACATTCACAGAGGAAGTGGCAGCTTATGAAGCCCGGAAGAAGGAATTAGAAGAGAAAAAGGAAACAATGTAAGTACAGCTCCTGTATGTGATTCCATCCTGTCTTGAGTGAGTCTTGATATGGATATTCAACAAACAGCCTGCATGTTTAATATAAAGGAAACTTGCATTGTGAAACCTTGACGTTTTGAAACAGTGTGTTGACATTAACATACAATTTATGAGAACAACTTATCTAATTTTGAGAATCTCTTGCAGAAGTGTATTATTACTGCCAGGTTTGCAATGTTTCAGAGACCCCAAGTCAATAGTCCGGCCACGCATCTCACTGTCTGCTTGTCTGGAAGCATTCTCATCTGTTGAAGTCATTGATGATTTCTACAGCTCTGCCTTGAAGGCAAAAACTCAAGCTCACAAGTAAGTGTGGGAAGATATTCAAGCAAAACTGTGATAAACATACATAACTTGCATGTACTCCCCAGTGCTAAGCTTTTCCCGGGAATATCCTGGTGGACTGCTGTCTGCCAAATACAAACATATGATGACCCCATCTTTTGTTCAAATCAGTAGATTTTATTGCTTGTATTTATTTCTCACTGTACCGCCTCCATGATGTAGTGGTTAGAGCGTCCGCCCGGAGAGCGGAAGGTCGCGGGTTTCGATCCCCGACCGCGTCATATCAAAAGACGTTAAAACATGGTACTTGTTGGTCTCTGCCTGGCTCTCGGCATTAATGGGTACAACAAGGACTGGTCGGCTCGGAGTCAGTATAATGTGTCTGAGTAGGGTATTCATGCTTCACTGCGGCATGGTATCTCAGTGGGCTAGCACTATAAACCAGCTTCAGTCTGGGCTAGTACAAGCAGCCGCACATACACATACACACGCATGCACGTCGTCATATGAGCGAAATATTCTCAAGCACGACGTAAAACCCAATTTCACCTCACCTCACCTATTTCTCACTATTTCATGCAACATGTGATAAGAGGGTGTCTTTGTTGACCTTTGGAACCATAAACTACATATCCTGGAGCACTAGTACATCTGTCAGAGGTTGGAGTGTTGAGCAGGTGATGGTGTGGCAGCCGGTACTCTGTCATGGAAGGACACTACCTCAACATGGAGGATACAGTCAGCTTATATCTATTGTTTATCTTTGTAGAACCACACATTCATATAGAATATCGCTGCACGTATCTTACACATGGCTGATGGAAGTCTTAATGTTACTCACTCATGCCAAGAAGATTAGAGTGTCATGATCTGTTTGCTTGTTTCAGGACAACTCGGTTCCGGACATTCCCAGATTATTTATTTGTACAGATGAAGAAGTTTACCATAGGTCAAGATTGGGTCCCCAAAAAGCTAGGTATGATCTTGTATTGCCTTGATAGGGCTTCAAGGGGATCCAAGTCTGATGAAATACTGTTTGTCAGCTCCATTTGTTTCCATATCATACGTGTCAAATGTTAGGAGTAGTTAGTTTCTATAAATATGTAATGTCTAGTCAGGAGCGTTTATGTTACATTATGATATTGGTTAAGTTTTTGTGTAAATTGTCCTGATATCATTGAAGCTCTCTTCATAAGTGAAGTGATGGGGTAGCCTAGAGGTTAAAGCATTCGCTTGTCACGCCGAAGGCCCAGGTTCGATTGTGAAGTCCATTTCTCATGTCCCTCACCGTGATATTGCTGGAATATTGCTAAAGGCGGCGTAAGACCAAACTCACTCTTCATAAGTTTTTCAGAAATGTGTATAACTTATCCAATGTGAGACTACACTTCTTGCTATAACAACACGTGGTCTGTTAGTCTTCTAGAAATGTAGTATGGTTAACTTATCAGTTCGATTCCCATGAGATGTGTGAAGCCTATTTCTGGTGCCCCCATACGTGATACAATATCAGGTGAAATGCTAAAACAGCATGAGTGGTCTGTTAGTCTTCTATTACACTTTTTATGTGCTGGGCTGTGTCTTTATTTGGTACATCTGATCACATCTGATCACATTGGCAACTTTACTCAGTTTGTCATTCAGAAAGAAGGCATCATGGTTGTATGGAGCATAAAAGTAGTTACTCCTAGGCCAACATCATATTTATCAGGGCCAGTGAGGTAGCCTAGTGGTTAAACCATTCGCTCATCACACCAAAAATGTGGGTGCGATTCCCCCACACGGGAAAAATTGTGTGAAGCCCATTTCTGGTGTCCCCTGCTGTGATATTGCTGGAATATTGACAAAAAGCAGCGTAAAACTAAACTCAGATTTAATCAGATTTATGATTTCAAGTAGAAACTTGCTGACTGAAGTGAAAAAATACCCACAGACCATTAAGCAGTAAAAGGTGACGTTTTGAGTGACTGTTGTTGATAGTTGCATACCCTTCTTTGTCTCAACAGATGTTTCTTTGGGTATGCCTGACGACCTTGACATTTCTGCTTTGAGAGGTGAAGGTCTTAAGGCAGGAGAAGAAGAGTTACCTCAGGATCAAGCACAACAGCCAGGTAAATATTTTATTAAGAGCATAACGGTCACTGCATGTGTATACGTTCCTGCCAAGTAATTCACATGATCATGACTAGTTGAATGTGGTGTGTGTCATCAAGCAATAAAGAAGGAAACCATTGTTAGGATGGTAAACTGGTAGGTAGGTCATTCCGACCTGGGGCGGTGGGGTAGCCTAGTGGTTAAAGCTCCCTCGTCACGCCAAAGACCGGGTTCAATTCCCCACATGGGTACAATGTGTGAAGCCCATTTCTGGTGTCCCCTGCCATGATATCGCTGGAATATTTCTAAAAGCGGCATAAAACTAAACTCATTCACTCATTCTGCCCTAAGCCAAGCTATTTGTAAAAATCAGAGACCCAGTAATGCACCTTGTTTGTTCTTTCCTCCATCAATCCTTATATTCCTCTGTCCACATCTCAGTCCCTTTTTCCTTCCTTCCAGCAATAGAGATAGACCAGACCACAGTGAACCAGCTGATGGAGATGGGTTTTGACCCCAATGGATGTCGGAAGGCTGTGTATCACACCAACAACACTGGGGTGGAGGCAGCAATGAACTGGGTGATGGAACACATGGGAGATGCAGGTAGGCACTTGCTGCTTACAAGGACAGTCAGACATAGAACACATCCTCGATAATCTCGATGCATCCACGGCTTGGGGCGATGATTTTATTACCTCCCTTGGCTGGCTTTTTATCCAATCAGGTGCCTACGCTGGGAAGTTGAGCGTAGCAATCACAACTCACTTTCGCTTCTTAAATTATCTAACCATTTAAATTGATGCAGAGGTACTCTGAAAGAGGTAGAAGGAGTTCAGTCATATATTTTTTGAAGTTTCAGATCTGTGAATTTGTCTTTGTTATTTCCCCAAATATCTGAGTGGCACTGCGAACAAACCTTGGCGACTGCGACCGCTATCTTTGTTGACACTGGCAAGCTCGGTTGTAATGGCGGCTTAGCTGATTGGCTACTGTGAGAATGTGGAGCCAGCCAAGGGAGGTAAAAAAATCATCGCCCCAAGCCGTGGATGCATCCAGGGTATAGTGGAGAGTTATCGTAACGTATACCCTGGAGATTATCGAGGATGTAGAACACATAGAAGACTAGTTTGTGGTATTGTCACACAGGGCTAGTTACCAGGACAGGAAGACAGAATGAGTTACCAGAGTGAGCTTTGCCGTAAAGCCACAAAAACTGCAGATAAAGAATGAATATATATTCACAGCCTCAGATGTCACTATTTCATTTAACAAATTCCAAATTTCTTTGGGGAAGCCCCTCCCAAAACCCAACCAATAAGAGGGTGCTCTCTCCCAGTGTCTTCCCTGACAACACTGGTTGGTAGCCCATTGTGGCACCACAGCCAGGGCTGGGATGGATGCCAGGGCTGGGATGCTCTGGGATGCACTGGAGAGTCCTGAGTCCTGCTCAGATATAACCACATGGCTCTGGGGCCCAATTCAGGTAAAATCCAAAAATAATCCATGCATGAAGATTATTCCAGCAAGTATTTTCTACCAAGACTATTGTTCCTGTGTTCCAGACTTTGCTACCCCTCTAGTGCTGCCAAACTCTGCATCATCAGGGGGGGCACAGTTCACCCCGTCAGAGGAGGCACTGGTCATGATTATGTCCATGGGCTTCACCAGGGACCAGGCGGTCAAGGCACTCAAGGCCACGGTATGTAAACGTGTGGACCCTAACCCCGTGGGGCTGGCACGATTGGGTCCCACCACCCCATGTTTGTCATAGGAGACCCACACAGTGTGTGACCTGGTGTATATTGTTACAGTTAAAACTCTCCTCTTCTGGTTAAAAATATTAGTACCTTTTAGCGAGTTTGACTTGAAAGTTGTATCTCTCACAAGGTTACTGTCATAGGAAGATATATACAATGCTGTAGTCATGACAGTGTAGGTGACAGGGGGTTCATGAGTGAGTGAGTGAGCTTCCCTTCAGAAACATAGCACTCACTAAAATAGCTTTCCATTTACAATATTTACTGATTTACGAAGTCTTGGTGATATCTTTCTTCCAAGGCGTCCTTTGTTTTGTCCCCACATGTGAGGACTGATGTTTGGATTCTGTAGGTCTGTCTTTCTTCTTCAGGACAACAATATCGAGAGAGCAGCTGATTGGATATTCAGCCACGTAGACGAGCTGGATCAGCCAATGGAAACAGATCAAGGTCAGGCCGCTGCCCCGGCAACACCCAAGTTCCGTGACGGGCCAGGAAGTAACTGTAGTAGATGTTGTGGGATGCCAGGAAGTAAGTGTCTATAGTAGATGTTGTTGGATGCTTCCTCTTGTTGCTGGAATACTGTACCATGACAGATAGTCTTGTTGAAATATGACATGCTAATATGACATAATCAGGTGGTCCTCAACTCCATGTGAGTAGTATGTAATCAGTCAAAGTGTCTCCTCATGCATGGAGGGGCAGTAGAGAAGGTTATAGCGTTTGCTCATCACACCGAAGACCAGTTCGATTCCCCATGTTAGTACGTTGTGTGTACCCTATTTCTGGTGTCTCCCGCTGTGATATTGCTGGAATATTACTAAAAGCAGCATAAAATTTTATCTCTGACTGGGCATATGGGATGATTGAGTGGATTGGTTGGTCTGTGATTTTGTTAAAAGAGTGCCAATTAGTATCTTTGCTTATTGTAGCTTCTCTGGTTTGCCTTGTTTGTTGTTTTTTTTCCCCGCAACGCGGAACTATGTATTCAGCGACTACGTAGTCCCGATTGTTGTTAACACGATATCTCATGAACTGTTGTACCCAATGTCTTCAAATTTGGTGACAGCCTACATTGGGGAAATATGCAGACACCAGTCGATTTTGGTGACCTGGACCTTATTTTCAAGGTCACGATGACACTCGGCACACTTTTAACTCTTGTTAACCCGATATCTCACGGACTGTTGTACCCAATGTCTTCAAATTTGGTGACTGCCTACATTGGGGGATTACACAGACACCAGTCGATTTGGGTGACCTTGACCATATTTTAAGGTCACCACGACACTTTGACCACTTTTCAAACTTTTGTTAACGTGATATCTAATGCACTGTTGTATCCAATGTCTTCAAATTTGGTGACAGCCTACATTGGGGGATTACACAGACACCAGTTTATTTGGGTGACCTTGACCTTATCTTCAAGGTCACCAACGACACTTTTTTAACTCTTGTTACCTCATGGACTGTTGTACCCAATGTCTTCAAATTTGGTGACTGCCTACATTGGGGATTACACTTGATTTGGGTGACACTTTCAAGGTCAACTCTTTGCACACTTTTAACTCTTGTTAACGCAATATCTCATGGACTGTTGTACCCAATGTCTTCAAATTTGGTGACTGCCTACTTTGGGGGATTACACAGACACCAGTTGATTTGGGTGAGGATGACTTTATCTTTCAAGGTCACCACGACACTTTGACCGCTTTTCAAACTTTTGTTAACGTGATATCTCATAAAACATTGCACCCAATGGTTTCAATTATGTTAACAGCCTACATTTGGTGATTAGGCAGACACCAGTCATTTCAGGCATCTTGTATGTGACCAAAAGTAGTAAATATAGATATTCCATTCTTTAGCGGCGGGGGACATGGCCATATCGTGGCAAACACTTGCTATTATTGTACTTACAGGCATGTAACTTGATAGCTGCTGAGAGCCACTGAAACAACAAAGAAATGTATAATTCTTGATGTTTCCTTCTTTACAGAGTATCAACTTGTAGCTTTCATCAGTCACATGGGCACATCTACCAGCGTGGGTCACTACGTATGTCATATTCTGAAGGATGGGAAGTGGGTGATATTTAACGACGAAGAAGGTGGCCCAGTCAGAGCATCCCCTAAAGACCTGGCCTACCTCTACCTGTACCGGAGATGCTGAATCTGCAAGGCAGTACCACATGATAAATCCTGACTATCAAACGCTTGAGTAATGTCAAGCCTAAACAATCTAAGACCCACAAAATGTTACTGAGTCAGCAAAATGTCTGATACTCAGTGGGTTCTTTATAACATTCTTCAATTGGTAAGTCATTCGGTCAGAATGCTATATACCTTTTACAACACAGAAGCAGATAACTTGTTTGTGAGGAGACAGTTTTAGACATACCTGTTTCACAGTCAAACACTTTGCTTGGTCAATGATCTGTTCACTGATAATTAACCTGTGTCACTCTTGGATGCCAGGATGCGTGGGTTCGGAGTGCAGATACACCCACATCATGGTCCTTGGGACCTGGAACTGATCATCATGGGTTCAGATCCTGTATCTGCCTGATTGTCATCCATGGTTGGTCACCTCCAAACTTGACCTTGTTGGATTCACCAGCGGGATAAATGTCATAGACATCACTTTGGGATTTCAACAGTAAGAGACATGTTATGATATAACTTAAATGTGGCGTTTAATTCAATCATTCACTTGATTGCATTCATCTTCCTAACGAAGGTCTGAGTTAGAATTGGTCTTCAATCCTTGCTTCTTGTAAGAGGCAAAATCACAGGATTGGGGCCAGGCTGGCTGATGTTCTGGTAGTTCCTGCATGTCATCGGATCCCAGTGAAGTAGGTCGATGCTCATAACGTCCATCACTGGATTTTCTGGTGAAGACTCAATTATCTTCACAGCCACCGCACAGCTGGAATATTGCTGAGTGTGGAGATAAACAAACAAACAAACAACATTGATGTAGGTCATTTATCACATTACACATCGATCTGAAGGACTGATGTTTAAAAAGATTGAGAAATAGTGTAGTTCACCTTGCAATATATATATCTAGATTATATATAATGTCAAGCATTACTTGGCCACCCCATTGAATTAACAAGTCACTGGAGTAAACAGTGTTGAAGGAGGTTGTGTATAACTATATAACTATAACTGTGCAGCTGATGTGCTATGATCTGTAGCCTGCAGTGGTGTACTGAACACAGAACCATCCTGCTCGATGTACTAGTAGTCAGATGCAGCTTCTGATGGCTATTGTCTGTGTGGTGATGTTGTGCTCACAACACTGTTGCCAGTAGCTGTACTAGTGACTGCTCACCTTTAGCCCTAAGCCCAATGCAAGTCTTTGTTATAGGCACTTGTACCAACACAGTTGCAAGTCTTTGTTAAACTAGTTATGACATTGTTTGTGCAACTGGACCCTAAACCTGCTAAGCACCAACAGTGATTATATTTTATTCATTTGCACTACTGCAGTAAAACTGTTGCTATTATATGTGTAGTTTATGTTGGAAGTACAACAGTGTCAGTTCAAAATTTGGCAGATTGTCTACTCTCCCAGCTGTAGCTACTCAAGACATTTTGGCCACCTCTAGGCCAATAAATGTATAGCATCTGACAAGAACGTCTTTGTTGGAATAAAGTTACCGAATCACATATGTTGCCATTTTCACCTGTACAAAATATCTTATTGCACGTAAGTCCAAATGTTATTGAAGATGGCGTTAATTGTAACAGTGCTAGACTCCATGTGTGCCTTTTGATAATCAGTATGCAATACCCGGGTCATCTCCCAGAGGAAAGATTGCCCACCAAACATATCACAGTCTATTTTTAACTGGGCATTCGTGTGGGATTGTGGACCCTCTTGCCCTTGGAAGATGTTCTGGGTGGTGTAAGCAACATGTTTCTGACTGTAAGTGCTTCGTTTAACTTCGCAACTGTGAGAATATAATAACGGGGAATTATTTCAGGAACTTGTCCTTGACCTTCTGAATGGCTCTCACTGGAAATAGGTGCAAGAATGCTGACATAGCTTCAATATTCACTCTGTGCAACCAGTCATCTGTAAGTAGAGTATCCACTGTTGTGGACTAACGTCACCCCGACTCCTTGCTACAGAGCAATCTTTGCACTACTTCGTTTGTAAGTTGTGATATTCTTAGTTGTAAGATCTCATTGTGAAACTTGCTGAGTGTTGCTTTAAGCAACAAACAAAACAATGTGAAAATGGACCCAACACAGTTTGACCCTCTGTCAATGTTGTGGACATTTCATCAGCCATGTTGTAATCCATGTTGGTCAGTGACGGAGGCAGTGACACCGCTGATTCTGTTTGTTCATCATTAACATGCTAGGTATTGTAAAAACAGTTGCATGCTTTACTGGCTGTTATCCAATGTCCTCAACTTGCTTGTTTGGGAAAAGAGTGTATTTTACTGGACACCTTACGCCATTTTCAAAGGGACATGCATAAGTTTGATCCTTATTAACTTAAACAGATGATTTTGTAGTTTAATGGGAATTTTAGTTACAGTGAGTGAGTGAGTATGTCTTAACGCTGCTTTTAGCAATATTCCAGCAATATCACAGCGGGGACACCAGAAATGGGCAGTTACAGAAGTTAATGAAACATGTTTTCTCTATATTACTGCTTAGGGTAATGTAAACCATTATTGAACTTCCACTTTCAAGTCAATTTCGGGATGCTTGTGTCGAATGTTAGATTTTTCAGAATTGCCTTGATATTCAATATTGAGGCTAAATGTATTGCATGGTACAAATTTACATGGTACACAGTAGCATCAAACCGAAGTGGTGGATGGTGTCTTGTAAATTGCACCTGTACTACGTTTGTTAGGCTACTTTGGTTGTAGTTTTGTTTTGGTTGTATTACAACTGATGCAAGCTTTCCTGTCACTGCACAGTTGTGCAGACAATGTAAGTGCTTCAACTGTCAAAACAGAATCATATTCTGTGATATTTGTCTTTATTTTTATTTGAAAATAAATATAAATGTTCAGAATGTTGTGTGAGGTGTCTCTGTTATATTTACATTGTACATGCATTACTTGACGGCCGTGACCATGTGTCAACTCCTGGACAGACTCTCTTGAGGTTTGTAGAGTGACACACTTTCTCACCTTCAAGGATACATGTGTGTAATCGTTACATGTGTGTAATCGTACCATAATTGTTGCTCATGTTGTAAGTCTTTGGTTTGCTTGTACAAGACATTATTTTTCAGGCAGCCATAAGGCTGGATTAAGGTGTAAAACAACATTCCCAATAACAACCATGTGTTGTATAGGGGCTGGAATAGTCCTAAAATGACGTCATCATCGAACACCTGGCTGACCTCATTTCACAGGGGTGTCAATGACCGTGGGATCCGGCGTCACATCAGAGCATCACACCATGACATCACACCATGACATCACGCCATTAATTTGGACCAATCAGCATACAGCCAACTCACTTCGGTGTGACTCACCCTGACCGAGGGGTCAATGACCGCGCGCCCCGTGGAAAACACATCATAGCATCACACCATGACATCACGCCATTAATTTGGGCCAATCAGCATACAGCAAACTCACACCGGTGTGACTCACCCTGACCGAGGGGTCAATGACCGTGCGCCCCGTGGAAAACACATCATAGCATCACACCATGACATCACGCCATTAATTTAGGCCAATCAGCGTAGAACAACTATCGGGGTTCACTGGACCACTGACCACAAACTAGTTTCGTCCGGTTTCAATTTTACCTATTAAAAAAACCCGCTGACAGTCAGTTGAAGTTATCATTTTGTCCTCTTACAAAATGTTTATATTTTCTATACTCAATAACCTTTTCTGTGGAGTGGAAATCTGTCATCTCAGAGCGCGCGCCGTTGAGGCATGGTGAATTAACAGTCGCAGCCTCCACACACTTCCCTCGTCTCACTCAGCCGAGGTGTAATATGATACCTCCTCAAGTTGTACTCAAAATCGTGGGTCTAACATTAGCCTGTCTCACGGTGTCTGACCCATATTATTTTGCCTACAGCCTAGCCCTCCCTGCACTGCTAAGGCTCTAAATGAAGTCTAGATTTCCCCCAGGTTTGCCTTGGGCTCCTTGTCAATTTAAATAGGTTTGTTTGTATTATCAAGATAATACATTCAGAGACTAAACATAAGTCTAGTCAAACATGTGCACTCATATGTGTAAAAGAAATGATACGGGTTTTATAACACATTTGTTCAATGCAATCAGCGTTCATTGCCACATGAAAATGGTTTGAGTTTGTCTTGACCATCACCAAAACAACCCAACTCAATAGAATTTCAAATGTATTTCAAACTTACCGGTATTCACATTCCATATTTGAATATCCAATCCATATTGTCATTGTATGTTCGATGATGACGTTTGTGATTGTATTGAATGAATCAACCACCAAAACACATGAGACTAATATTGCACCTTCCATGTAAATAGAACATATGTTATATCTGGGATTGTGTTGTGCAAAATACTCTCCCTCTCACAGTGCTAGCAGAGACGCGATCTGGTGACCCACAAGGGGTATGGACAACATTTCTCGTAAAACACCCATAAATAAACATGCTCGTTAGAATGAACGCTAGCTAGGGCGTGTCAGCTTTGAAATGTGCGTTCTGGTCATGGGGTTTTTGTACATCACATTTAGGAATGCAACTTTCAACTTTCTAAAATTCCATCAGTGTAATTGTATAGTGTTAGCATGAAAGAGTAATTAAATGACAACTCACAGGTGTATATTATATTTTATATGGGTATTTATATAGCACTATAGTCCATACCGCATGCATGCTCAAAGGGCAACACCTCTCAACTGCCCGGGACTGCCACTACAACTACGGGATAGGAGCCTTTACTTTACATCTGTTGTCTTATCACCGTTCCTAATCGTCATGGCCTTCACTCTTCATCAGATGTTATGTCTGCATTATCATCTTCGGGTATGATACAGATTATTTGTGTCTCCTACTTGTTTCAGTATTCCTTGTGTCTTTTGGACCATACTCCATATGGTACAGATAAGTAATAAATCGTGCATACGTCTCTTTAAACGTTCGTGTCTTCGTTTAAACCTCTTTTCATGTACAGCTGTTTCTTTATTCAGCTCACGTGTACGTGAATACATTTGTCTTATACCTTGCTCTTCGAGATCAGCCATCTCTTTTTCCCTGTTGTTTTGTGTGAAAGTTGTGGTTATTGCTAAACACTTGACCACAATAGTCACAATCTGTTGTCGCTTCCCTCCCTCTTCCTTTTCACTTGGGGTATTCCCCGGTGGACACACTGAAGAATTTACAGGACACCAGTTTCTTCTGTGTTTTTGCAAATCATGCACGTCTTGAGATGGCATGGCTGGGATGTTTTCACGCCGAAAGTTCCTAGCTTGATGTCTCCTTTTTAAGCTGAAAAGTCGCAAATGTGTTTTTTAGATCAACCAACATGTAGGTTTCTGGAAAACGGCTCCATGAAACGGTCTGTGTTACCTGGATACATTTGCCTCGCCATGGGTTGTTGATTTCAAACAGATCTGTAGCTTTGCCTTGATGAAATCCAACATAATAATATATGGAAAAGGGCTGTCGCAAGAGCCAAATAATGTTCAGGATAAGGTTTAATGTTCATGCGTTCTAGAATCACTAAGTAATGTTTTCCCATGGGCCCTGAGACAATCTGGTGAAGGGGTGTATCAGCTCACATTCTTCCAAAGTTATTTGCATCATCTTGATTGCTTGTCTGTGTTGAATTGTATCCCTTCTGGAAAACGTCTTATAGCACACGGGACACTGCCTTGAAGTTAAAATGTACTAGCATCTTGAAATCTGAAGAAAGCTTTGGCCTGAACGATAGGGACAAATGGCCAGTAAATAGGTAATCATCCACGTTAGTAAAGGGATTGGGATATCCTTTAGCCTGCAAATAGTAATATTTGGTCCATTTCTTAGGATGGGCTGACCGTTGTTATTGTTGTTTTATAACCCCTAATGTTTGAGAGGGAAAGTGGTCAACTCAGTACACATAGAGGAAACAAAATGGCGGATGTCCAACCCCTATACAACAACCATGGATGCTTTTTCTTAAAATGTCATCCACAGTGTTGTATCATAGTGCCTGAGTTAGTCGCATCAAATCTGAGAGGGTGTCCTAAAGGTTGTGTGGGCACTAATGTTTGAGAGTCGCACATAGAGGGTGTCCTATCCCAGTGTTGAGAGTCGCACATAGAGGGTGTCCTACCACAGTGTTGAGAGTCACACATAGAGGGTGTCCTATCACAGTGTTGAGTCACACATAGAGGGTGTCCTATCACAGTGTTGAGAGTCGCACATAGAGGGTGTCCTATCACAGTGTTGTGAGTCACACATAGAGGGTGTCCTATCACAGTGTTGAGAGCCACACATAGAGGGTGTCCTATCACAGTATTGAGAGTCCCACATAGAGGGTGTCCTATCACAGTGTTGAGAGTCACACATAGAGGGTGTCCTATCACAGTGTTGAGAGTCCCACATAGAGGGTGTCCTATCACAGTGTTGAGAGTCCCACATAGAGGGTGTCCTATCAGTGTTGAGAGTCGCACATAGAGGGTGTCCTATCACAGTGTTGAGAGTCACACATAGAGGGTGTCCTATCACAGTGTTGAGAGTCACACATTGACAAACCCAAAGGTGTGACAGTTCCAACAGAGTCGACAGGGTGTGAACACTCAAATGTCACTGGTCTTGGCTCAGCAGTGACTGTGCTAATAGGGACCACTCAGTTTTGAATAAATGCTTCTTTTTTTAAAATAAAAATACCCCAAACAAACAAAAAACAACATTCACATTCATGAGGCATCTGATGACAACTGGGGCGGTGGGGTAGCCTAGTGGTTAAAGCGTTGGCTCGTCACGCCTAAGACCCGGGTTCGCATCCCCACATGGGTACATTGTGTGAAGCCCATTTGTGGTGTCCCCCGCCGTGATGTTGCTGGAATATTGCTAAAAGCGGCGTAAAAGCAAACTCAGTCAGTCAGTCAGTCAGTCTGATGACAAATTGGAAGAAGGAATCCGCAGGACACTCGATGCACAGTGTACGACAAACTTTTTCACCAGGCAGTGAATATCGAACATCCCAAACGTGTATGAAATATTACATCCTATTTAAGAT